ACAGCCACAGATCCAGCTCATTTAGATTCATTCCCTATTAACCACGTTATTTGCTGATGATCTTATTTTTGTATCGGAGACACCTATTGGTTTACAGAAATGTATATATATTTTAAGTAAATATTTTCATGAATGGAAATTATGTGTGAACATGGAAAAAACAAATGTTATGATTTTTTCTCAAAGAAATAACAAATCAGTATAAATATCTGGGACTTGTATTTAAATCTGATGGAAAAATGAAATTCTCAGCAGAACAGCTGTCAGAAAGAGCTAGAAAGGCCTATTATGCTATAAAAAACTAATTTTCCAGCTAATATAAATTTTTCTGTCGAGACAATATTAAAACTTTATAGATCTATGATTACTCCAATCTTAACGTACGGTTCTGAAATTTGGATTGCAGACTACAAATGAGATTTATTATCCTCAGATCATTTCCAATTTGAAAAAAATACAACTTAACTCCAAATATTTAAAGACATTATTGGTGTTCATAGAAAATCATCTAATATTGCTGTTCTATAGGAGTTGGGACAATTCCCACTATTAGTGCATGGTGTCTGCATTTAAGGCAGATAAAACACTGGGGTCTAGAATATCTTGGCAAAGAAAACTTTTTACTCTACAGAAATTGCCTTTATCTTCATTGGACATATCGCACAAAACTTTAAGACATAAATTAGAGGAGCACTATAGGAACAAAATCTGTGAACAGTACAAGAACATTTCTAAATCAGATTCTGGAAAATTACTTTTTAAAGTAATATAATAAATTTAAATGAATATAAATCACAGAACTACCTACAATTCCATTGAAGAAATCTGAAAGTCTTAGAACAATCCTAACAAAACTAAGAATTAGTGCTCATATACTACATATTGAAATGGAAAGTTACTCAAGGCCACCTGTTCCTAGAGAAAAAAACGTGTATGTCGTTCTTTTAAACTTTTTATTGAAAATGAAAAACATTTTGTACTTTATTGTCCTAGTTATGGTCAGTATAGATTACAATATTGTGATATATTTAATACTCAATGTTACATGAAGGAAAACCCTATTCTTGACATTATCAACCCTCCAAGTATTAAAATTGCTAAAAGAGTATGTAACTTTCTGAAAAAGCGTTTTGGTATTAGAAAAGAAAAACTTCAACATAACTGATATGCTTACTGGAATATTTTTATTTATATTGATTTTACGTATGTTATTGCTTGCTGTGTTGATGACTATATGCCAGAGTATGATGGTGTTGTCAAATAAATGAGTTGAATTGAACATTACCGCTGCATTTTAAAAATACTCATTACCACTACAATTTTCTCCCTCGTAAACTCCTCCGAAAATCAATCTTTTCTTGACTAATTTGAATATATATATATATATATATATATATATATATATATATATATATATATATATATATATATATATATATATATATATATATATATATATATATATATGTCAGATTTTTTGGATTCTTGACGATGATCAATCGATTGGCCTTCGGCGTTTATGCAAATTTTCACGCAAGCCACTCGATTGATCTCATCATGAATCCAAAAAATTAGACAGTTATTCCTTAAATGCACCCATATGAAGCACGCTATATACCGTATAAGTAGAAATTTTAGCGAGACGCAAATTTAGCGATTTATCCCAAAATATTGATATATATTTTTAGCGAGAAGTAATCTTAGCGATTTCTTTAATATCAAGAGAGATAGCTGTAACAAACGATATGGAATAAATTGTTAGCGATATTAAATTTTAGCGATCTCAGAACCCTAATAATGCCAGAATTGAATCCTCGCGAAAAATTCTGCTTATACAGTATGTATCATCGCAAATTCACTTATAGATGCTCATGAATAATAATCATGGTTTGGGGGGATAATGTACCAAACTAGGTGACCAAGCGTTGATATTTTTTTATTGATTGATTGATAATAATAACGGTTTTTAAAACTTAGGAAGTGGTGTTCTGCATTTCAAACTACCTCTTCTGTATGGATTTTTTGTCTCGAAAGCTTTTCCCCTGGCTGTGTCGGAGCTTATGTGCTCAGTTTTTCTGTAAACTTGTGTAACCCAAAATCATAACATTGTAATTCAAATCACATTCTGCCCTGTTAAGTCTTTGTGCCCGAAGAAAATACTAGCTGCAATAACGTAGTCCTCTCCCATTTTTTTATCTGATGTTTTCAGCCCCCCCCCCAAAAAAAAAAAGAACGGAGAGGGCTACATTATTGCAGCTAAGATGAAATCTTCTCTGTTTCTCATGCAGTGGGCTACTCCTGAAGGCGAAGACAGATATTTACAGACACATCTTAGTAGTGATGCTTATTTTCGATAAAACTAACTAAATCGAGAAAAATCATGTAATCTAAAGCTGAATTGGGATTTTATATCCATGTCTGTAAAGTAATTTTTTTTATTATAAAGTTTGTTGAATATTTAACAATGCATTCTTTGATTATAAAATGTTCATATTTGATTTTAAAAATGTCAGCGTTACACTTCATAAAATATATTTTTAAAATCTTAATACGACTATATCATTTTATGCTTTTCAATTTATCATTGATTTTTCATATAAAATACTGAAAATTACTTCGTTCGTGAAGGGGGTGTTTGCATAATCCTTATACCCCTTCTTCGTCCCAGATTAATTCAACGCCGTTCACTTTGCTCACTTAAATTAGGGGCACGTGACATTAATTAAAATGTCCGAACTCATGCGATCACATCTTAGTTTTACCCTGCACAATTATACCTACATGCACAAATATGTTCAAGTTGCATGTTTATTAATGACGCACTGTGATATATCACTTTTTCGTATTCACGTCAACAAACATTTCTCTGAAAAACATAAGTCACATATTCTAATTTCAATACTTAACAATCAACATAGTTCCCATCTCGTTCGAAATTACATTGTAATTTTTTTTATACGTCGATTTCTCACCTTTGAAAATCTATGTCCTGAAACATAAAGTTAACAAACAGTAACCATGCTCAAAAGTCTAAAGAGCCAATACAAATTGGGAGCAAAACAAAACACAGACCACCGAAAACATCAAAGGTGGGAGCATGTGCCATGGAGGAGTAAGCATCCCCTGTCGACTGTCACACCCGCTGTGTGCTTTTTATCATGTTCGGGTAAACGGAGAAATGCATAGTCTATTAATTCAATATGATTGATTGATTGTAAACTATGTTGTTTTAGGTTCTATTCGAGAATTTTTCACTCAGATAGATACGTCACAATATATCAGTAAAGGGCTTCAAATTTAGACCTTTACTCGGCACTCAGGTCCATGGAACAGTGAGGGATCTTTATTGTGCCAACGCCTACCGTGACACATGGCCTCGGATTTTAAGGTCTCATCCGAAAATGATGCCCTAACAATTTGTATTAAAGATTCAAGTCAACATTCGACCTAACGACAGATTGTACAGAATTTGCGAAATGTTGACTTTAAACGAGATTGTAGATACCCTTTTATTATCAACTTATTTGTCAATAGCCTGGCTTGTTTTAGAAATGGTTTGTACGAAGAACATACTCTTGCGTATTGACATGATTTTATTGGAATGAGCTAACAGTTAAAAGAGACTGACAAATTTAAGGAAATGCTGCCATACACTTTAACATCAAACCCTTGTGATTTTGTACACTTTTCTGTAATTTTGAGTAATTTCAAATCTTATCATTACAAGTATGTATCCACACGACACTTTCTTCAGTCAAATTCTGTCACATGGTAATTCAATAATAAAGGCCTACATGTATAACAACAGAGCTCATTACTGGGTAAGAACTGGCTTACAAGATACTTTTTTTTATTTACCCCCACCATACTCACCACTGGTCTCGGAGAGAATTGTAGTTTTTATAAGGATGAAGCCTATAGGAGAGAACAAAAGCACAATTTTACTTGCGCCTATAATTATCTGGAATAGATTAAATGGATAATCAAGTAATCAACTGGACATTCAGCTACTGATTACAAAATCAGTAACCGCTTAATATGAATAAATTACTGAATTTATAAAATTGCTATTTATGAGCATGGCTGAATGTTACTACATGTATATATTCAGTGTCTCAGTACCCCATTCTTAAATATAATTTCGCACAGTTGGTGCATCATTCAGGAAATATGCATCCTAAATGTATATAATTAGAATGAGATGATAAAAATCTATTTAAAAATCAATATACATGTATACAGACATAATAAAGAGAAAAAAAAGTACTTCAATGTTTAAATTCTTTATAATAAATTTGCTTTGTATAATATCATATAAAAACAAAAATGCACAGTTGTGCAATAGAGAATATTATTAATAATGAATAGAACATAATAAACATTAAAAAAAAATTCATTTAAAATATCATATAATATTCTACAACTTCCACAGAAATGTTTATATCATCAAAGTACAAGAGAATAAATTCAGAAATGATTTGCAAAGTACAAAAAGTGTTTTGAAAAGGAGATTTTGACAAAATAACTATGATTCTGAGTCAGTTCTTTTATATGTATCTAGAAAATGAGATAAATTTAAAACTAAACCACATTAAAAGTTCTTTTTGTAATCTGTACATGAACATAAACAAATTACATCACATTAATTTATAAACCCAGCAAGTTTTTTTTTCCTTCCTAGTATTCAGTGTTCAAAAGAATCTACATTAACATGAATCATATTTGATCTTAAACTCCCAGTGATATCACATTTATACACAGTTGCCTGCAATACAGTAATTGAGGGAAATTAAAAACATTTCTAATATTTCCTCATTTTTAGTTTCATTATCATCAGAATCTTCAGAGACAGCCCCAAACCCAAAGCATGAAGTCAACCCATAAACACACAATCTTTTTTCTGATACATGTATATATTGGGACTATGTATCTGAGTTGTAGCTAATACACATATATATTAATAACAATAAGCATATGCTTTCAAATACATGTAGGTGTGCTATTACCCCTGTTTCACACCTGTAAATCCATTCAATAAATATAAGGATGCATGTGCACTGTATTTCTAAACTAGTTTCAACTTTATAAATGTTTATTATTTATATCCTCTTTTGTTTTTTATTCAATTAAAACATAAAATAGCAATTTAAAAAGAATAGGTATCTCATTGTTGCTATGTTCAAGCTAGAACTTTCTGTATACTAAATTTTAACATTTCTCTAATATTTCTATCCATATTTCTTTCATAAAAAATAGCTCCCATTCACTTTTTTTCTTGTTCCTTTCGCATTCATTAAATTAAAACATAAAATACTAATTTAAAAAGAATAGGTATCACATTGTAGCTATGTTCAAGCTAGATCTTTAACCTTGTATAAGATATGTATATATGAATATAATATTATGAGCTGTCCTGGTCTTGCTATCTTTTCTCTCTGTCTTGTAGATGATGAGCATGGAGTGCTGCCAAAGTAGGTTTTATTGCACTAAGAAAAAAAAATTAATAAGAATCACATTGTACATGCAGACAAAAAAATGTCCTAGATAATTCAAATACCATCAGTAAGAAAATGAATTATGTATCTCATTCTTCATTTAACCACTTGTTAAGAGTATTTAATCAGATATAGAACAATTTTTCTGTGTAAAAATAAGTGCCAGGTAATCTTAGGCTTACCTTCCCTCCCTGATGATTTTGTACGTGCCCTGAACAGAGAGATCCACCACTGTGGATCCTGCCCTGGAATGGAATGTATCGCCAAGTTCTCCCCCATCAAATACAATGTCTAGCTGGGGCCACAGGTTCTTAAACTCCTATACAATAAATTTATTGAAATATGTTTAATGTAATGATCTGAATAACTAGGTTACTGTAGACTCGAAATATAAATCTGTACTTCAAATTATGGATTTTAATGTACATTTTATATTACCTGAATATTCAATGTACTTTGAGTTGAGCTGAAGTTTGCACTCGTTAAGGCAATAGGGCCTTGACATGACCTTGAAATCTCCCGCACAAATTTATGATCTGGAATTCGGATTCCAACAAGCAAAGTCCCTGGATTTAGTTCTGGATTTAAATCCTTGGTCCTCTCAAACACCACAGTCACTGGTCCAGGTAGTAACTCAGATAGTAAATCACTGCTCACTGTCACCTTACCCCATCTAAAAATATAATCTAGTTTTAACATTTTTTCAATCTCCTGATCATCCTGTAGATATTAATTACTGTAGAAAGATGGCATTCCAAATATGTCTGCAATAAGAAAAAAATTGGCAAATGAAAAAGATAAATGTAATTTTTGATTATGACAAACTGATTTTATTTTTTTTAAAGACACATCTAAGGTATTTCAATAATATTATAGCAAAGAGGTGACATTATTCATTTGAAGAGGCTGATTAAAATTATTTCCAATAGATTTTTTTTTTTTTTTGGATTTGCTATTATGAAATTTGAAGCAGCAAATTCTGATCATTCAATCTTTGAAAAAATGCCTCCTTCCTCAATTTATTGAAAGTACTGCCATCTTTTTTTCCCATTATATATTTTATATTCACTTTATATTATTCTGAGCATGGTGAACATGGTTAAAACAGAATGGATAGATTAAATACTCCAGGCCTGTAGGAAGCAATTTCAATTCGGAGGGGCACAGCCATACATTTTCAGCTGAGGGGGCACTATCAATTACCGAAAATTTCTTGACAAGCAAAAAAAAAAAAAAAAGGTCATCAGACGTTTTTATTGAGGGGGCACACACATATAGTAGCTATGTTTTCTATTGTAATCTATATATCGGCAAAATTATTGGGGGGGCACGGCCCCCCCGTGCCCCCCCCCCCCCCCCCGGTTCCTACGGCCATGTACTCAGGTATTAAATTGTATCAACTGTATTGGTATTTGCTTGGGGTAATTAATTTTTCAAAAGAATTTTGACTAGCTTAACCAAAGTATTTGAAATAACCCTGCGCCCGACCGCCCGAGACGCATAAATTTCGCAGCACGTACCAACGTCCGGCTGGATGTGTTAAAATTTGACATAAATTAACATTTATATATTTGACAAATATCTCTCAAATCAACTAATAGTATTGGTAGCTAAGTGTAATAGGCAAAGGGGTAGAATTCGACTTCCTATATATTCGGGATGGAAGTAATGGTGATCGCGCCCCATTCATATTATCGCTAAAAACAAATTTATAAAAGAAATAATTTTCTTGGGCTAGTAGAGTTTTGGCAGGGCTGACAACTTTCACTAGCAGTCAGCCCTGCATGTCTAGCTAATTCTACCATGAGTTTCAACGAAACACTGCTTAACCAGCTATCTAGAACCACCATATATTTTATGCCAAATTGACAAACATGTTATTGTAATAGTGTTGGATTTGTACAAAAATAAAGTAACAGAACTTGCCAGAATATATGTTTTAACTTTTATTTAAATTTGTTATTCAAAACCTAGATCCACCCCTTAGTTCTCCATTACCTGTACATACTTATATATTACCTAAGGGCATTGGTCAGGTGTTTTGGAAGTGGTTATTGTTATTTTGGTTTTTATTGGTTATTGATTTGAAAGGTCTGATTCTATTGGTTTTATTGACTGGGTTGGAGTTTTCCCGCTTTATTAAGACCATTCTTTGTTCAATGGTTGATCTGACCAGACTATATATATATTAAAAAAAAGACATTCTTGACTTTGGACAGATTTCCATTTCTGGTAAGTTACTAATATTATTTCATATTTTAAATGTTCATCCTATAGTATGCAAAAGCCATTTCCATTTGCACTTACTAAAGTGAATGAATAAATTTGAGAGAAAGTTATTTTATGATGTATATTTATTATTGATTACAAGATCAATATTAAGTATTTAACAGAAGTAATTTGATGTTAATCAGATTATATGTTTTTATGATGATCAAAGATATATTTGATGATATTGTTCAAAGTGAGCAATTGATATATTTTTAAAGGGATAATATTTTTAAATAAATTGTATTAAATTACAGATCACCATTCATGTAGATACTTCTATATTAACAATTTGTGGGAAAGCCTATTCCCATAGAATGGTGAGATTTAGATTTATATGTTTTTAATCTGGAAAATATTTTTTTATGATATTATGGGAGTAATTAATATGTAAAGATTTATATATTCAAGAGTTATCTCCCTTTGATGACAGTGTAAATATTATAAATGATGATAATCTAATAATTATCTTCATGTGAAATAATGAACATTGTGTGTGATAATTATTTACATTATATTTATTGTTGTTTTTATGATATTTACAGGGCTTACACAATACAACACAATATATATATATAATCACTCCACTGTGCAATAAATCTGATGAACCCTGACAGGAGTGTTGTGTTATATACTTCCATAGTGACACCCCTGTTACATTATCAATTCTGATGCTCTCTCTGCAATCAAACCAACATACCTATAGATGTCATTTATTTCAGCTACACTGATAGCCAATGGTTTACTGTAGTCCCGGTTTTTAATGTTGTACATTCGGTCCACTGCTTCACTGTTCTGTACAAGAGCGGCTATTCCATAAATTGTGTCAGTAGGTACAGCTATCACTTTACCAGACTTAAGACTTCCTGTTGCCATGGACACCAACTGCCCTAGCTCTGTTGATTAAAACGTATCAATGTCCATAAAAGTATGACGCCATAAGATGAATTAAAAATTACTGGAAAGATCCCAGACTTGGGCGCTATTGTTTGTAAAAAATAATTAAATAAACAACTATTCTAGAGTCTATAGCATACTTTTTAAAAAAACAACAAACCATTTGAGCAAATATCAACAATCCGAGCCATGGTGTTCGCTGCAATATGATGTATGTGTTTTCTAAAACTCAGTATTTTAATCATTTGATGTCATACTGTGTTGATCAGTTTCACGTTGTTGCATCAGATGGGCGCAGACATCTTGATCTTCGTCATTTTAGTGTTTAGAATAACAAAAAAATAGCGTTTTGAATAAATGTTTACCAACAGTCCCATTCATTAGATTGACTTTATGAAATTGACTGAATAATGAACAATTTAGATCTCAAAGTCTAATATTTGATTTTATTTCTATAATTTTTAAAGAATACACCAAATTAAATAATTGAAAGAAGTCGGGTTCGAGATACAAATTTCCCAATTAAAGCTTTATTTTCACACTGATTTTTCATCTCTCTGAATGTCAACAAAGTCTGGATCATCATGTCATGTTCAAAGCAATTTAAACACTGCAAAGCTCTGTTTTGCAATTTTAACGCACTTAAAACAACATGCCAAGTCCATCAGTTGCAGTATGCAAGGGTAGTGTGCAGATACAATTCGCATGATTCCCAAAGACCAAGTTTTAGTGAAAAACTTAATCAAGGACCCACTTTTCAGCACTTTGTTGCGAACTCCGGTAAAGGAAAGGAAAATTACTTGTATGGGGACACAGAATCTGTACCGTATTTAGAAGAGGACGTTTATTCTGGCCATGGTAGAAAAGGTATGATTGCACTACAATGCAGCAGTGATCTGGTCCCTGTGTGTAAGAAATATCGGTATAAGCAGGTCCAGCACAATACCCTGATAAAGGTATATAGCTTGATAAAGCTATATAGCTTTATCAAGGTATTACGAACGCAGCAATGTTAAGGCTTCTCGAAGCTTTAAATGCGTTCAAAAAATAAGACTGCATTGCAAGGTCGATTTTTATTTTTATTTGTAAGTTATGTACTTAAGTACGGCCAATTTATATAGAGAGTTCTCTAGGCTATATATAAACGTATTTGTTACGATATCACATGACCTCGTTGATCACGTGACGGTCATTTCTACTTTTTTGAAGTGTTTCACATAAATCGCTTCGGCGCAGGTGATTAACTCAATTATTATTAACTTTTTGTCACATAAGTAAACTCGTAGCATCCTTGTGAACCCGAAATGTGCTTGGGAAAAGTTATACTATTACCCTGGTACAAAATATTTCACAATAAATTCAACTGACCGACAAATTTGAGGGTATTTTCCACTCAATATCGTCATCTGTATTAAAACAAAGCCATCACACATTTTTCCCAAGCAAGATTCAGTTAGAGAGGAAACTCCTCTTACAGATTTCCGCAAAAGATCTCAAATAAATCCTCATTAATCACCTGCGCCAGGCTCTTTTATACACATATTATAAATTCTACCTCTATCCAAGGGTATAAAAAAGGGTAAATGTCAAACGTATATATTCATATATATTTGGAACACGCTGACTTTTAAACAAGAGTAATAAAGCAAAGTTATCTAAACTATTCGGATAAATATAAGATTTTTAAAAAAGATTAAAACACGTTTATTTTACACTGCTTTCTTGACACTTTATATGCAGATTGAAATAAGGTGTAAAGTTTATGACACTCTCCCCATCATAACAGCTCAAGTTTGCAGTGACTTGACGTCATTTTCAATTATGACGTCATATATTTGTAGTTCAGAGAAGTGAAGGCATAGAGTACACTGTAATATTCTCTGGGAAGCCTTAACGTACCTGCGAATACCTTGATCAAGGTATTTTATCAGGGTTCTCACTAGGATTTTGCTAACTTGAGTCCCAGGACTCAAGGTTTCTGAGAAGGTTGCGTCCCAGCTAAATTTGATGCGTCCCAGAAAAATTATGTTGAGTCCCAACTAAATTATTGCAGTATCCTTCCATCCAAACATCAATAAAAATCTTTATCATTTTATCAGTTTGTTTACGCAGTATTAACATATTCAAGTATATAAACTGGTAACGCATTCAAGCTATATTCTAAAATACACACGTAATCAATTGCCATAAATTTATAAAGCTAAAAAATCAAGTACCCAGAAGTTGACTGTATACAATCACAGGTGTCATGTGCAATGAGGCGTAACTAATCCTGTCGGTCGTCTGCACTGGGTGAAATTCACGAGATAATCAAGCCGCATTGTGTATACAAGCAGTAATTATGGTTTCTATACATGTAGATAACACTCAAGATTCAAAAGTGTTTTTAAAAAAAAGCTGCAGTGTGTTTACAGCTGTCGGAGTTTGGCATGCGACACTATTATGACTATGGACTAATAAACATGAAATATCTTATGATCAATCCCTGTTTTAAAAAAAGAGAAGTAAGTATAAGAAAAGTTGTTTCTTGGATAAACTTTATGATAGTTACAGGAAGGTTTCGATTAAATATTTCTTTGACAAATCCTAACATCTAAATTCCCCGTTTTCGAAATCACCCGCATTTTCTCGCTAACGAGGACGCGTCCGATCACGAGTCCGCGGACGCATCATTTTTAAGAACCTTGCATCCCAAGTAATTTTGCTGCTTCTAGGACGCAGATTCTTGCGTTAATGAGAACCCTGTTTATGTTATGAAAATACAAAAACAAATCCTAAAAAAATAAATACTGAAAGTCGAGTTCTGAGTTGTTGTCAGTAATTTCACTCATGCATGTAAAGTACTCAAACACAAAGAAATCAGAATAAAAGTATGTCCTGCGAGGAGACGTTCTTTTATGCTGTCTTTTTGATACCTGAGTACTTTTCATGCACTAGTGAACACACTGACCACAACTCATAATTCGACTTTTAAATTTAATTTTTTTAAGATTATTTTTTGTATTTTCATGACATAAAATACCTTGATCAAGGTATTTGTAATACCTTGATAAAGCTATATAGCTTTATCAAGCTATATACCTTTATCAGGGTATTGTGCTGGACCTGATAAGGTTTGTGCAGCAGGGATGTGCATGATTACTGAAAAATGTAATCGATTAATAATCGATTACTTAGAGGAATTTTGTGTAATCGATTATTAATCGATTACACTCATTTTTGTCCTGTAATTGATTGTAATCGATTACTTTGGAATGTAATCGATTAATAATCGATTACTTCCAAGTTTTTATCCCTTCAAATATCAAAGCAATATTTAAATGGTAATGTTGATGATATCCACTGAAGTTTGAATGTGTTCCTGCAGTTTCAGTGCAGATTCTTTTAAAGTTTTATTCTGGCTAACATTCTCACTAAATGCCCAAATGAGGGATTCTCTACCATGGAAAGTGGAGACATGATTCCAACAATAAAATATGCCAAGAAAATAATTATTCCTTTCAACCTTGGATCTGAACCTCCATATTCAGATTTGACTTGTTGCAAAAATTATTTATATTATTTTATTGTGAATAACTTCATTAGAAGTATTTGGGCTGCCTGTATGTTGACAGTACACATTAAGCATTCTTTTACGTGTCTTCTTTAAAAAAATAAGTAAATTAGAACTCTTAGTAATAAACATGTAAAATAAATGTGTCTTTAAGTAATTAAACTAATAGCACAATTTCATTCTGCATTGAAGTAAGTGTTTTGAGAGCTATTAATTGTTTTAATAATATTGTTTGTCTTCAATGGAACTATGAATTATAAAAGTTAAACACTAGGTAGTTCACAGTTTACACCTCATTATCTGCAAGTCAGGGATGTCTCAGTCAATTAATTAGCCAATTAAGATAAGCAAACACAGTGACACTTACTCCCTCTCTTCCAGACACTTAAAACCTCTCACTGATACAATTTTGAATGAAAACATGAGAATGATTTTGCAAATTTTAAAGTTACTGAAACACAAGTTTGAAGTTGTTTAAACATTTTCAGATGTGAATAAGTATTCCCATCTTCTTCTTTTTTTCGAGTACAATGTAGTTTATTTACCAAATTATTTATATTTAATACAGCACTTAAATCTGTTTTTGCTATTTATAATTTTCTATTACAAGACAAAGTTTTTCAATATTTGAAATATGAAAAAGGACATGCAGCGAGAGGACAGTGGGTCAAATGTAAAATGCATACAAAAAATCTGTATTTTTTTATTAATAAATGGTTGAAATACACTTCTGAATTATTTAATACTAGACCAGTATGTCTATAATGCAAATTTTATTGAGAACATTATTAAACTTATGATAATAAAAGTTAGGAAATCCAAACATTACACTAGGTGGTTTATATTTGATATTTATGTGTGACATACTGAAAGGAAATAATTCTCCAAAATAACATCCATTTATGTATAAAATAATCAAAAGTAATTATAATTACATTGAAAATTTTAGCTGTAATCGATTAAATTACAATTACAAGTAATCGAAAATCTCTTCGATTACAGATTACTGTCGATTACTTGAAAAAAGTAATCATTACAATCGATTACGATTACTCGATTACGATTACCCCATCCCTGTTGTGCAGGTTTAATTATGATTTTTCAACATAGTGATTTCTTAAAAACCAGATTTCAATGACAGATAAAGAATATATCTAAATTTTATACTAGTTGTATTATTGATGATTATGGCTAGCAGGCTGGTTTGTTTGCTGTTATAAAGCACCTGTCCAAAGTTTGGGGGGCCTGGGTTCAAAACTGGTGCCTTTTCTTACTTCCTTTTCACTTAGTACAGTGATTGAATGTCATGGTCAAGTACGCTTGATCAGGGTGGCCACACAACCAAGTAAATCAATTAGCACCACCTGTCTACAGTACAGGTCAGATGGCTCTCAGGGTTGCAAATAACATTTAAAACCTCAGGGGCCATGTGGGCCCCCAACTTTACAAGTTTTGCTAGCACACATTGATATTTTGGGGCCCTCAATTTTCTCTCCACTTTGTAAAAAGATATTCTCGATCTTTTCACATTTTAATCTCTAAGAAGTATACTTTGCTTGATACATTAGTTTACAGCAGTAAATGATATGTTTCATTTCTATTTCAGTATACTTTGATACATATGGATGCCAGATGAATTTCAATGATACAGAAATAGCCTGGAGTATTTTGAAAGATAAGGGATATTCCAAATCTGAATCTGTGAAAGAGGTAGCATATACATCACTTGTAGCTAAAAATAATGCACAAGCATAAGCAGCTAATAGTTGCTATCAACTTCTTAAGTCCAATGAAGAACAAAAGTCTAATAAGGCAATCTGTAAATTATTTTATGAACACATGTTGCCGATTTCCCATTTAAGTTATGGCAGTTAAGTATGTACATCTGGAATTGGAATCCCATTCTTCCAGTTCAAAATGTTGAGAGACATTTTTAAAAAATGCTTTATAATTAAGAAATGAATTTAATTTTTGAAGATTCATGAGGACATGAACTACGACGCTTCGCGCCGGCATATTTCATGAAGCGCGTTAGCGCTTCATGATAAATATGCCGGCGTGAAGCGTTGTAGTTCATGTACCTCATGAATCTTCAAAAATTAAATTCATATCTTATATTTACATTATTTTTCTGATGAGTTTCCAAAGGTTACGCCATTCAACTGTCATTTTTGAAGCAAAACAGTTTGCACTATAGTTTTGACGTCAAGTACGGTATCATGACGTCACAATGGAGATACTCTTGCTCATCTCATGGTAGTTCATGAGAAAATGAACAATCTTCTAATTTGTAAAGAATCTTAAGGAAACATACTTGGAAATGTAAATATTGGCAAATGATCTGTCATTCAGCATGAAGACCTCATTTATAAGGACAAATTATGCTTTGTACAAAATACCAAGAAGAAAGAAATGGAAAATCTTGAGTTAGCAAATACAATATATCCTTTTTTCAGGCTGATATAGTTTTGCTGATGACATGTTCCATAAGAGACAATGCTGAACAGAAGATCTGGAATATGGTAGAGAGATATAAAGGATTCAAGAGAAAGGCTGGGAAAAAGAACCCATTGCGCATTGGGATTCTAGGTTACTTTTTACTTTATTTGAAAATTGAATTGCAGAGCATTCACAATTGATTACCACAAGTGGCTGATTCCACCCCTAAGAGTTTTTGAGAAGTTATTCTTTTATGTTACCATGACCTTCTAAAGGTAACTATTTGGAAATTTGTAATTTTAATGATGTACAAAAATATCTATGATATGTGGAAAAGAAAAACATTTTTAAAGAGGACAAGAGAGAAGGGGGTACCATGCAGAGTCATAAACTACCTTTTTTTCCCCGCAGCACTATTTTTTCCTATTTTTTAACAGGTTGCATGGCTGAGAGACTGAAACACAAGATTTTGGACAAGGAGAAAATGGTGGACTTGGTTTGTGGTCCTGATGCCTACAGAGATCTGCCACGACTGTTAGCAATGACACCAGAGTCCAGACAATCAGCTGGTCAGTGTTACAATAAGTTACAGCCCTGATTCTCTGTTTACATGTATTTGTAGATAATGCAATTTGTGCATGGAGATAGTCATTTTAGTATTGGATAGACTTTACACGGAAGTCTTTTTGGCAAAATTGTATATACTTTTGTCAACATTTGAAGAAAGTATATTGTCAATCTTGTCTAGAACTTTTGTCAGAACATATTTATGTTAGAAGAGACAGATTTTCATACCAAAAATAGTTATTAATCAGTAAATCAAGTTTTGTAAATCTTTGATTGAAAGAGTTAAATTCTAAATTGATTCATATTTTGAAAGGTGCTTGGAATAAATTCTACATATAATACTGTTTTACAGTGAATGTCATGTTGTCACTAGAGGAGACATATGCTGATGTGATGCCTGTTAGAATAAATGAAGATTCCAAAACTGCATTTGTGTAAGTCTTAGTTGACATAATAAGCATACCAGGTATTGTCCTTTATATTATGCAAATTATGGGAATGGGCATTAAATATTGATATAAACTCATTTAATTTAAAGAGAATATATGTACACTGTGATGATTTTTTTTTTTTAGATGTAAGATTGTTTAGAACAACTTCGTACCTTCATACACTAACAGTATAAGACTAATACAAAAGTGTCGTACATGTAAATGTATCAGTGCACTTTTTTGCATTTTAATTTCATGATTTACAGTAGTAGTGCTTATAACAGAGACATCAGAATTAATTTTCCACTCTTTCTACCTTCAGATCTATAACTCGAGGGTGTAACAACATGTGTTCCTACTGTATTGTACCCTTCACTAGAGGGAGGGAGAGAAGTCGACCTATATCCTCCATACTGGAAGAGGTCAGGATGCTGTCAGATCAGGTATCTAACTTCTTCATGTCTATATGTGAAGTAAGGTTAAGCCTTACTTTTCTTATTTCTGTCACAAGTCGTACATTTTGCATCTGATATTGCATCAGAGAAGTGGTATGACATGAAGGCCAAGGCTTTAAAGAAAATCATCTGTGCTTGATAGCAAATCTATTCTGTAAAATCTATAGGCTGCGATTGTTGATTCTATATTTTTAATTTTTTTTTTTCCCTATGCTTATATGATCTTCATTCAATGTTCTTATGTTCTTTATGTCAGAGTACTTGTCTCTGTCGTGCAAGATACTGCTTTCAACAATTGTATTACTTTTCAATTTTTCTCAGAAGCAAAAAGTTTTGAGGAATGCATTATTTTTTATCTGTTGAAATTTAATGTTTCCTTAACTGATACATTACAGGGTATCAAAGAAATTACATTACTGGGACAAAATGTGAATAGTTATTGTGACAAAACAGAGGAAGTGCATTACGGGGGACTACCTTGCACTGAGCCTCAGTCTGAGGTGTTAAGTAAAGGTTTTAAGACAATTTACAAACTAAAACCTGGAGGGAGGAGGTTCAGTCATCTCCTGGACCAGGTGTCTCAGATTGACCCAGGTATGAGGATCCGCTTCACTTCTCCACACCCAAAAGATTTTCCAGATGAGGTATGCATTGTTATGTGGTAACCTGCAGTATAGCTTTTATTATCCCCCTCAAAACAAAGTTGGAGGGGATATTTCAATTATTCCTTTTTTTTTGTATTTGATATTCTAGAAAAAAAATTCAAGCATTCTTTTCCTAAGACAAGGGACAATGAGAAATATTCCAGATTAAGAGAGTGTATGCATACATGCAGTGTTCAGATATGCCCCAATTTAAGCTAAATGATTGTTAGAGGGATATAAGTTCCACTGGGACAGTTCTAGTCAAGTTGACAGATAAATTCCAGGGTTTACTAAGGGGAAATAACTTTTGTAGGTGCTGTATTTGATCCGAGATCGAACCAATATCTGCAACAAGATCCATTTACCAGCCCAGAGTGGAAGTACAGCAATACTTCACGCAATGAGAAGAGGGTAGGGTAAAAACTACTTAATTTTAGAATGATTAGTATATAAAAAATATTTCACACAATGAGGAAAGAGTACAATAAACTGTTTTAATCTTGTATAAACATTGCTAAGCCTCAGTTATGATATGGATACTGCAAGATCAAGATGTATAATTTTGATGACTATTCTGAAATTGATTTTTAGACACACAAGGGAAGCTTATTTAGACTTAGTTCACCACATCAGAGAAATAATACCAGGTAAGTCAAAGTTTCAAACAAAACAGTGTTTACCAGTTTTGGATATTATTAGCTCACCTGAGCCAAAGGCTCAAGTGAGCTTTTCTGAACAAAATTTGTCCGTTGTCTGTCGTTATTGTCGTTGTTGGCGTTGTCGTAAACTTTTCACATTTTCATCTTCTTCTCAAGAACCATTGGGCCAATTTCAACCAAACTTGCCACAAAGTATCTTTGGGTAAAGGGGATTCAAGTTTCTTCAAATGAAGGTCCACGCCTTCTTCCAAGGGGAGATAATTATGAATTCATGAAAAATTAATGGCATCATTTAAAAATCTTCTTCTCAAGAACCACTATGCTTGAAAACATGAAACTTATATGGAAGCATCCTCAGGTAGTGTAGATTTAAATTTGTTCAAACCATGACCCCTGGGGGTAGGGTGGGGCCACAATGGGCGATCAAAGTTTTACCTAAAAATATATAGGAAAAATCTTTAAAAATCTTCTTCTCAAGAACAGCAAAGCCATGATTGGTCATATTTATATGGAAGGATCCTCAGGTAGTGTAGATTCAAGTTTGTTCAAATCATGACCCCCAGGGGTAGGATGGGGCCACAATGGGAGATCAAAGTTTTACATAGGAATACATAGAAAAAATCTGTAAAAGTCTTCTTCTCAAGAACAGCAAAGCCATAATTAGTTATATTTAAATGGAAGCATTCTCGGGTAATGTAGATTCAAATTTTGTTCAAATCATGACCCCCTAGGAGAATAGAGGGGCCATAACAGGGGATCATAGTTATACAATGGAATACAAATGATATATCAATAAAAATTATCTTCTTAAGAACAGCAAAGCCATTATTTGTCATATTAATTCAAAAGCATCCCTATGATGAAGTATAGATTCAAGTTAGTTCAAATCAAAACCCCCCCCCCCCCCCATCTCGAACCACTTTTATATCAAAACTTTTCAAGACTGAACTGATTTCTTCTTTTTCCTACCCAGAGTGCTCAGGTGAGCGATGTGGCCCCTGGGTCTCTTGTTACAGAGGTATTCATGGAGATATTGCTGTTAAAGATTTTAATTTTGTGTTTTGGGTGAGCTTTGGGTATATCTTCATGCTTGCAAGATAGAGGTGGGAAAAGAGAGGGGGCAAATATTTTTTAACTACTTGTATCAATGTGTTTTTTTTTAATAGATGTGTCATTAACTAGCGATTTTATTGTGGGGTTCTGTGGAGAAACAGAGGAGGATCACCAAGACACTTTGTCCCTCATTGAGGAAGTCGGGTACCAGTATGTGTATCAGTTCCCATACAGCATGAGGCAGGTATGACACTTTGCTTTTGATCTGAACTCTTGTTGTTAAAGACATATTCTAGTTCCAGGTGAATGTTCCTAATGGCAATAGAAAGAATTAATTGATAGTATTAAATTCAATACAGACCTATTTACTTTTAAAGTGTGTAATTATGGAGTTTATCCCTTGTTCTATTGACAAAAATCTCTTCTAGGAAATCTATACATGTATTTATAACTTCTGACCAACTATCCTCTCTATACTGTCGTTACAGTTTATGAGAATAAACTATTGTCTATTGTCCTTTCACAAGTATTGTTAGAATTGGAAAATCATTTTTCATTACAGAAAACTCATGCCCACCATCATTTAAAAGACACAGTTCCACAGTCTGTGAAACTACAGAGGACACAGGAAGTGATAGACTGTGCCAGGAAAGGAATGCTAGGATTGAACCAATCTCAGATAGGCCAGGAACAGCTTGTTCTCATAGAGGGGGTAAAAATATGAAATACGTAATCAAGACTACAATGCTTTGGAATCTTTAATGTTGTCCAGGAATTAGCCATTTAGCTTGTCCTTGTTTGCTAGAGTGTTTTCTTTAGGTTGGATTTACAAGTACAATCTATCTATCCTGTAATCATGCATAACAATTTTATATTGGTATTTCCGACAATGTTGATAATAAATTAATGACCCTTGATGCAAGTTGCATTGATGTTAGTACGAAAACAAAATACTTCAGAATGCAAAGCATCTGGAACACAGAGAAATTGTTCAAGCTGTATGACACAACTAAATGTAGAATTAATTGAAACTACCCTATAAATTTTCAATGTCAGTTTATGTTCAATGATCACTTTATTTTAGAGGAATGAAAAAAAAAATTAGGTCTAGGTCTGGCAAGTTTTTTATTACCTGAATGCATATCTTGCAGACTAGCAAGAGATCTAGCAGTGATATGTGGGGAAGAAATGATGGCAGTATAAAAGTTATAATTCCCAACAACCCCATTCCTAGTTCTGACGGAGGGAGCTGTTTGAAGAACATAGCTTTAGGAGATTATGTTGTGGTTAAGGTATGTTCAAACTAGAATTCTGATAAACTTTTCTTGCTTGGTACCATTCTTATTGATAACCATATGGGAGTATTCTGATCCAAGTTTGACTTTTCATTGCTAACAGACAATGCTTACTGACAATATCTACATCTAGATAAATGAAATCATTCTTATTTTATGTAATTAGTAATAAGTGAATATAATGAAAACAATTCATGGTCAACTTCAATATGTTTTCAGATTTTATCTGCAAATTCCCAGACTTTGTTTGGAGAGCCATTATACCACAGCAGTCTTGTGAACTATACAGCTACACCTGAATCTGTGTCAAGGACAGCCTCAATTTCATGATAGTCAACCTTCAACTAAAGAAAAAGATTAGTGAATACAATGACCCCTTGTTATTGTCAGAGACCTGATAAGTGAACCTCTTCATTTCGTATCTCTTTTACAACTGAAAGTACAAGGACCTTGCATGTGTTACTTTTGTTTGTTTGATGTTATTAAATGAATTAGTTGAAGTTATTATTATTTTGTTTTGTTTTTGTCTTGCCATGCAATGATTTTATGCACATTAATGTTTTCTTGTACATGCATTAAAATAAACTTTTATATTTCAAGGGAGGAGCTTAAATTTCTTAACATTTAAACCACAGGTACTTGACATTTTAAACATTTTCTTAGAATGCTATACTTTAAATATAGTAAAGATTTTTTTTTATCATAAAGATTATTTTTTAAATGTCAAGTACCTATGAGTCAAACAGTTAAGCTTTTGAAAACAAACTGTTGTCCATCTGTCTAAAGTCGGCAGAATACAACAGTTTGATCAGTTAGTTTGACAGATCACAAAATCCTCCAAAACTTATTTGGTCTAACAAAGAATGAGAAAGTTTTAATTGCCATTTAATTAATGTGATGCTACAATATTTGCATTGTCAAATTATGCACTTGAATATGTACTGTACACAGGAAGACTTTTAATTGAGTATTTTCTTATAAAATCATGTGATTTTATCCATATTCAGTGATCTATTATTTGATCCATGAACGCATGCAAATAATGCAGGTGCAAGGAGGGGAAGGGGTCCTACGTTAACATTTAATTATTTGTACTATAATTCAGAATGGCATGTATTTTATGGTGGTCCACAACCCTTCCTCTCACCCTCCCTTTTCAAAAAACGTGTGTTAGTTTACAAAAAAAAATTTAAAAAGTAAAAAAAACTAGAGGTACTGTGAGCACTGAACTCACAAAATGATACCCCCGCTTCCATATATGTATAATGACAAAGTCCATTTTTCCTATTGGAAACCCAAATATCTGTCCAATCAAAACATAAAGTAGCAGGAGCACAGTGGCACTATATAAAAAAGATTCTGTGAAAGTCTCATTAAATTTTATTCAGTGGTATAGGAGGAGTTGCAGATAAGAGATGGGTACCCCTGACATTATAGAAAGAATAGCAGTGTCCATGTTTTGCTATGGAAAACCTGAAATATGTGTCCAATCAAAAAACTAAAGTTAGAATGTGTACAATGACTCCGTGAAATAAAGATTCTGCGAAAGTATCAAATTTTATTCAGTGGTAGGAAGAGTTGCAGATAAGAGATGGATACTCCCGATTATATAAAAAGAATGGCAGCGTCCATGTTTTGCTATATCGCAAACCCGAAATGTGTGTCCAATCAAAAAGTAAAAAGGAGGTTTAACAATACAATAACACTCTCTTTTGTTAATTTCAATCTAAAGTTGAAAATGATTTCATGTAATCATTTTTAACTTTAGATTGAAAATAAATAAAAGACAACACCATGCAATGAAGATCCTGTGAAAGTATCATTAATTTTTATTCAGTGGTATAGAAATAGTTGCGGGTTGGAGGTGAGTACCCCCAATATTATAAAGAGAATGACAGTGTCTATGTTTTGCCATTCGAAACCCGATATATATGTCGATCAAAAGAAAAATTGGTGTACAATGGCATGTATGTAACAAAGATTCTGTGAAAGTCTCATTAAATTTTATTCAGTGGAATGAGAGGAGTTGCGGATAAGAAATGGGTACCCAAAGCTTTACGGTCGGACGGTAATGACGAGTAACCCTATCGCTATACACCCCCCGCTTTCAAGCGGGGGAGTATAAAAACTAGAGGTACCGTGAGCATTGAGCTCATAAAATGACACTCCCCCGCTCCCATAAGAATATAATGGCAAAGTGCATGTTTTGCTATGGAAAACCCCCCAAATATGTGTTCGATCAACGAATAGCACTATGCATGCTATGTAACAAAGATTCTGTGAAAGTCTCGTTAAATGTTATTCAGTGGTATAGGAGGAGTTTCGGATTAGAGATGGGTATTCCCGGAAGGATAGATGTCCCCCATCACTATGTTTATTACTACATATAAACTTTTTCATGTATGTACGAGTAAACTTTTGTACCTATATATATACCTACATGTAAACTCTCTTACAGTACTCGTATTTTGCCGTCAGGACCATGATTGGTCGTGAAAATGATACATCAAGTTGTTTACATATGTAACGGGAGAGGAGAAAAATGCAGCGGACCAGACCGGGATTCGAACCCGGGCCCCCTGAATCTCCAGTCAGGTGCTCTACCAACTGAGCTATCTGGCCACCGGCGATCGAATCCGTGCCCCCTGAATCTCCAGTCAGGTGCTCTACCAACTGAGCTGTATGGCCACCGGCGATCGAATCCGTCTGACCGCCACACATAGAAAAACGACAGCCGGGAAAATTACTGCTATATTACCAAGAATGATTCCTTTTCTAAAAGTAATTTCAAAAATCTTAGAAAGTGTCAAAACTGTAGTTCCAAAGGAAAAGATGGGTCACTGGAATCACGCACATTTCACAATAGGTATCAAATTTATTATTTTTAAGGAAAATTAAACAAAAAAAATATTTCAGGGAACAAAAGCTAAATAAATAAATGCTGCACATATAAAAATCGTAAATTGTAAGTAGGATGTAAATCATGTCGTCATAAAGGCATTTTGTTTTTCGTAATGCAAAGAAAATGACATTGTAGTCATGGGACCGATCACAGAAGCTGTCTCCGATCACATTTTCTATCTATCAAATACTGATCCTTACCGCTGACCATAGATCCGTACACTTGCGATAAAGAACATACGTTTCCTTTAGTTTAATTGATATTTTTAAAAAATAGAAAATTGTACAGTTTTGTTCTATCGTAAAGAGTCGTATCCCCAACGCAGTAACCCTTGCGAATGCTCATTTCATAACATACAGCGAAGCACGTGATACGTGGCCTTGAGTTTCTTGCACGGGTTTTTTTGTGGAGATACTAATAATTCATCACGGTTTCAGGGTGAGTGTCACAGAGATTAGAAAAAAATCATTAGTTTTATATATCTGAAACAAAGAAAAACATGCAACTGTTTTTTCATTATTGTTAAAAAAAAAACACGTGCATATTTTGCTTCCGTATTTCAATGTTATGAAACAAAAGTGTATGGCAACACCTTTATGTCAATAGTAAACTATTTGTGTAGATTTTATACAGTCTTGTAAAATGATGTAGATATTTGTTTGACATTTAATTTTTTTTTTCATCTAGAGATATGAGTAGTAAAGTTTATGGAATCGCAGTCATCGGTTTAGGCACGGCGGGACGTGTTCGCGTGAGAGATTTAACAAACAGTACGTCATACAACAAGATACAGTGGTGTTTGAAAGGATTTGTCTCAAGGTTTCTCTCTCTCTCTCTCTCTCTCTCATATTCTTAGTTCGATCAAAAGCATTTTTATATGCATTTGAATAATTGTAATTTCATTCTTTTTAGAAGAAAATGTATGAGGTTAATTATTACCTTTTTTTCGGCATACAGACGCAGTTTAGAGATCGAGGGTGCTCAACAGTTGGTGGAAAGCGAGGTTTTTGACGGAAAAGACATTGATGCTATATTGATCTGTACAGAAAATGGATTACATGAGCGACTAGTCAGGTTAATTTAATGATCTGTTGGTTTGGAAATTTAACTGTAAGATATACGGGCCCATAGGAACGGGTCCGGGGGAGGGGGTTCCATATTATATTTGCCAAAATATAAAATAGAAAATAAAGATAATCTACGGCTGTGCAACCTCAGTAATAGCGTCTGCCCCCCCCCCCCCCCCCCCCCGTTTTGTCAAGGAAATTCTATTGTCTCCTCCTTTCCAAGCTGAAATTGTTTCCTACAGGTCTGAGTTACCACGTCAATTTTGACATTCTGATGACAATAAGCAGTGGCTCGTTCAGTATTAATTATAACTGATTTTTTTTTTTCTAGGAACAATTCTTATGAAAAAAAATTTATCTGACAAGTATAGAGTATAAAATTTTGTTATGTCCATATACATAAAAGCGAATATACATATATATATATATATATATATATATATATATATATATATATATATATATATATATATTTGTTATGTCCATATACACGTACATAAAAGCGACACTATTATGCCTATACAAGCATGTACATTTTTTCTGTGTTTATAATAATCGATCTCCAGTACCCTTTTTATTATATCCCCGCTCCGAAGGAAAGGAGGGTATACTGTTTTACCCTTGTGTGTCTGTCTGTATGTGCGTGTGTCTGTCTGTCCGTAACAATTTTTTCGTCGCAGTGTTCTCAGCAACTACTCATCATAGATGCTTGAAATTTTAGCACACTGCTTAGGCATGCCATATGGTGAGATTTATTTTTGTACGAATCCATGATCAACTTCCTGTTTATCCGTGCGTCTGTCCGTACCATACATAACAAATTTTCGTCTCAGTTTTCTCAGTAACTACTTATTGCAGATGCATGAAATTTTTTCACACTCTGTTGAGGAATGCCATATGATGCGATTCTTTTTTGTACGAAATTGGTGTCAACTTCCTGTTCATCCCTGTGTCTGTCCATAACTGAAGTTGTGTATATTCACATCAGAGTGTATCAGAGCGGGGGTATTACTAGTGAGCATTGGCTCACAGACTTCTTGTTAATTCTGAAAATGTTGATGCTTATAGGCAAGTTTACTTTGTATTTGATTATGATAGGAGCGGTATAGAGAAAGGGAAACATGTCCTTTGTGAGTTTCCATTAGCTTTGTCCTCCAGCGTTGCTAAGGATTTTTTCGAATTAGCTGAAAAGAAAGGCAAGTTGCTGCAATTTACTACGAATTAAAGTCACTCAATATAACTGTATTCGGTAACCTTTTTTAACGTCTAAATATTTACGTAAATGTAGGTGTTATTCTTCACGAGGAAAATATTGGTTTGTTAAACAACTACAAAGAACAGCTTGATAACAGTTCTATTCCATGGAAACACTGTGACATTTTACTGAAAGGTTGGTACATTTAAATTCATACAACGTGTGCTAAATAGATTTCATTTTCGAATACAACAAATTACTTATCTTATTCACTTCACTTTATGATGATAAAGATGATAACTGGTAAAGAATGAATTAAAGTGCATACTATAATCAGAAAAAATTCCCCATGATTTTTCTAATTTTTAAAGCAATGTTTTGATAGGAACTTGTAAAAATAAGAAAATGAACTTTTTCAGTTTTTCTTTCTCAATTTCTTTTCATTAATACACTGTAAAATATTTTGATATTTATAATTTGTTTAAGGAAGGTATAATGGATGGATTGAGGATCACGAGAATTCAGGGCCACCGTTTGTATGTAACATTGGGCTGGTAGAAACTGCCTGTCATCTATGTGGTGACGTAAAAGCTGTGGGTGGCTCCTTTAGTAACACAGGGTCCAGCTTTGAGGCGGTGGCTCATTTAGAAACCCCAGATAAAAGGTGATGTACTCAAAGATAACTATAACTTTTTATCACAGGTTTTTAGATCGCCTTATATGCTTCGACTGACATACTGGGCGTATTTTTTTTTTATTCTTTTATTTTCCTGTCAATCACTTTTCATTCGCGAGAACTTTATTTTTGCGCTATTGCGCGAGACCTTCATATCGCGAAAATTTCATTTTTGCCTATTTTGTATTATCAGAGATTACTAGTATATTCCGCAAAAAAGTAAGTGTGTGAAAAGTTTTTTCTTGATTATAATTACCCAACACCTAACTCGCGAAAATAGGGTGTTGCGAAAATTTGTTGATATTGATTATTTTAGTACCCAAGACCCATGCAGTATGTCAGTCGAATGACAGCTAGCGAACTGAAGGCCTTTACGGTATTTTTTATGAATTAATTATCCATTATTTGAAATTCTGCATCAATTCTAGTCTAAATGATGTCATTATATTACAGAACAGTCACCATCACGCTAAACCGATCGAAGGATTGTGACGGGAGAGAAAAATCCATTGTGTTTCAACTTCAGGATGGGAGCGAACTTAACCTAAGACCTACAAAAACACCAGGGGCAAAGCCAGGTACCATACCCAATAAAAGAATTGAATGTGTTATTTTTTTTAAAATCACATTTACTATACACATTTATTCTAACATTAATCCAAATATTTTTTGCAAAAGAACCCCCCCCTTTTTTTAATCGGAAAAAGGGGATCCAAACTACGTAAATGTTGATGGTTTTTGATAGCTAGTAAAGGGAGACTTTATTTTACTTTACATTTTATTGTCTTTGTAATTATTTTTTTATCACATTTTTTGCACAGGTTTATTCATGCAAGATTTCCACAAGTTTATGGACGAGATAGTTAGTGGTAAGATAGACCAGGAAATGAAAGCTAGGACAGTACGAGCTTTAGAGATAGCAGAGGATATCCATCGGATCATAATGCCTAAATTGTAATCAATTAAATTCTGAATAAATATTATATTATGGACATTCATATTTTATTTTCAAATCTACATACATGTACCTTGCTGATATGGAGTATGGAATATGATGTTTTGGAGGTCCGTGTTTGCTCTGCACCTATTTTTTTTAATGTTTAATGGACTTTTGATCAAGTCTAAAACAACTTTTTCACCAACTAATTTGTTGTCTCCATCACTTTACTTGACAATAACTCATCAACTGACAATCAGGGGGCCACAGTACACACTACTCTGTGCAATTGGCTATTTTGCTACATAAATAATCTTTATGTCAATCTTTCATACTGCCTTAAAGGCAAGAATCCGACTTTGAGCATGCTTTGCTCATTAAAACCAAATATTTTCGGTATATAATTAACAGAACCCTGCCCAAAACCCTGACCCAGGGGTCAAGAATCTCACAATTTTGGAAACACCCTTGCTCATCATAACTATGCACTTAGTTCATCGGCTTAATACCCCCAGAGGAGAGGAGAAGATTTTCGAAGAATTAATGCATTTTCACTAAAATCATAAGAGCCCCGCCTGAAAACCAGAACCCCTGACCCAGGGGCCATGAAATTCACAATTTTGAAAGAGGCGCCCTTGATCATGATAACTATGCATTTAGTTTGTTAGCTTAATACCCAAGAGAGAGGAGACGATTTTTTAAAATGAAAAATGCGTTTTCACTATATATTCAACAGAGTCCCACCCTAGCACCAGAACCGCAGACTCTGGGGCTATGAATTTCATAATTTTGGTAGAGGGCTCAATGCTTATTACAATCATGCCAATAGTTTGACCTCCTTATGTTTATAAGTAAAAAAAAAATAAGAATTTGAAAGATTGCATTAATTTTGATGGTTTTAGCCCCACCCCTAAGGCCCCATTGGAGCAGGGACCATGAATTTTACAATTTATTTTCCCCTTTACTCATAGATGTTTTATGCCAAAATTTGTTGAAATTGGTTCAGTGGTTCCAGAGAAGAAGATGAAAATGTTCAAAAGTTTACGACCGACGAAAGACGACGGACAAAAACAGATAGCAATAGTCACCTGAGTGACTCAGGTGACCTAATAAATGCAATAAGATTGAAATTTAAACTTTGATAATAAGGGCTGACCAGATCTAGTGCAAAATAAATTAAATCAACTATTTGAAACTGCAGCATTTCACTAGACTAGTGAAGTCCTACTAGCCAATTTTTTAAAACTAGTTTTGCAATAAGTATATAGGTGCAGCTGAAAACATTGAAAGGATACAAAAAGTGTTTATACTTACATTGTCATAATATTGTAACAGTGTGACCTGGTTTAATATAGAGGATTGTTGAAGATAAAATGTACATAAAATAATCAAAAAGGAAATATTATAAAGAAGCCATAGCTCCTGCACAACTACCAAAAGTATTGATGAGTTGTATTGTTTTTTTGAATCTGAAATGTATGATGTTTAAGTCTTACCATCTTAAAACCTTGACATAACTAATGTTTCTAAGTGGACTGTGTGTACCAGGATATATATTTGAACAAAAGATACTACTGCATAAAGGTGAGCCAAAGCAAATATAGACGTACATATATGTCATTCAAAAAAAGCATCTGTCTAGACTTGCATGTTTGTAATACCTCTAGCTGAATTCAGATTTAGTTATCTAAACATTTTACTAGTTTATACTGAAATGGAGATACCTGGTAAATACTAACCATAAAAGAAAAATTGCAACACCTGAACGTGCTGAAGTTTTAGCTGAAATCAAGGAGGTTGCTGGTCCTAACCTTCAATCTAATCACCCTCTTGGTGCCCGCTCGATTGCTCTGGTGTCAAAAAATTGTTGGTTGCAGTGTTGCTGCAAGGCTGGTGTTATAAGTCCTACAATAGGCTTTACTGGGGATCTATACCAGCAATAAAAAGGTCAAGGTGTGTAGCCGTAATACTACCTGCAGACTTTGGACAAGTTTCGCTGATCCGGATTTTTTAGCCTTGGGCTGGGAATTAGGGCCTGTAATATGCTTCGACTTATGCGTTGTCGGTCTCGCATATACATACATGGAATAAAAATAATAAATTGAAAAAGAAACTAAATGATAAATATTTTAAAGTAAAATAATACTATCTTTTGTTCAAAGTTTTCCATTTTTTGCCAGAGTTTTCTGCATTAAGTACTGGGATTTCTAATCTCGACCTCTTTTGTTGTGTACACATAAGCATACATTAACAAACAAACATTAAGTAATGTATATTTACACTGCAAATGGCAACTATAAAATTAGGTCATTAAACGATTATCAGTAAATAGAAAATTAGATAAATTACTTATAAAGGTGCAATATAAATTTGTAGCCATCCGTAGTCTTGCTGAATATGTAATCGTCACAGAAAACATATACTTCCTTTATTTTTTCTTATTTAAAAGGGCACACTTTCTTCCGATTTTAGAAAGTTTAATTTATTCCCAACGCAGTAAACCATGTGAATGTTTTTACATTAAATCAAAGTACGTGAGACGTGATCTTGAATTGTTAATTTCTTTTTTTCAAGTGCATGTTTTTGTGGACATAACGAAGTAACCACAGTAACAGGGTAAGTGACAATGAGATTAAAGAAAAATCATTATATAGTGTTAATTATATCAAACATGCAACAGTTTTAAATACACATGCATATTTTCCTTCCGTGTTAGGTTACGAAACACTAGTGTATTGCGACACATTTTTGCAAGTAAGCTGTGAAGATTTTATACAGGTTTGTCAAATGACTAAAGATATTTTTTTTTTGACATCTAAAAAGTTTTTTTTCTCGTTTAGAGATATGAGCAGTAAAATTTATGGAGTCGCTGTCATCGGTCTTGGTTTAGCGGGACGTATTCGCGTGGGAGATTTAACGAATAGCACGTCATACGATAAGATACAATGGTGTTTGAAAGGATTTGTCTCAAGGTTTTCTATTCATCTCTCCAATAACATAGCTACCATAAATGCTTGCATACCTAAATTAAAAAGGATTGTAATACGTGGACCATAAGTTTGCTTTTTTAGGGAAAATTTTTGGTTGTCATGGAAAAATATATTATTATTAATTAAATTATTATTATTATTATTATTATTTTTTTGTATCTGGAAACTTAAATTATCTCTTGATTTAACAAAAAAAAAAAAAAAAAATAAAATAAAATAAAAACTAATTGCTAAAGTTGCAAAATTGAAAGACGCACCTCTTGAGATATATATATATATATATATATATATATATATATATATATATATATATATATATATATATATATATATATATATATATATATATTATATATAATTGTGTAGGCATTAATTATTTATTGTATATATTGTATATAACCTGAGTGTCTCTTAATAAAAGAGGGTCATCCTAGCTGCAATAATGTAGCCCTCTCCTTTTTTTTTTTTTAGGAGAAAAATATCAGATAAAAAAAAAAATCGGAGAGGGCTACATTATTGCAGCTAGGGTCATCCATGTATCACAATTACCATGTATGTGGTATGTTTCACAGTCTAAAAAGCAGTGTTGTTTTCCTTGACATGAAAGACAAAGAAAGGCCTCTTTGCGCTGTCGTAGTTGATACATAAAAATTATATCCCAGAAAGCCTGTCCTATTTTCCTTTTAAATAAATTTGCAAGACATTAATTTTAATTCAAGATATAAAACCATCTTAATTCTTCTTTCAAAGCTATATATGGCGTATCTGAGTTAAAAAAAAAAAATAATAAAAATACGAGACTGAGTGTAAATGAACACGATATTTGTTATTTACGTTCAAATTAAAATTCTTCACCGATTTTGAACTTGAATAACTTCACGTTTCTATAGTGAAATTAACTTTTAATCTGTGTCTAAAATCTAAATGCGGAGTCGGTAAATAAATCGGTTATTGTTTTAAATTTCTAATATCTATGTAACGCGATTGATTTAAATTGTATAATTTATAGGAAAGTCCTATCTTTATACAGAGTAATAAAACAAATAGAAAGATCTTTTTAATTTTAGTTAGTCTGAACTTATCAAAAATACGCCATACATGACTTTAAATATCGTAAGTCCCTTGTACCATAGCATTCCCCATTTTAACAGATAAATATTTCTACTGTACTCTGTAATCTATAATAGCAAACTAGATACATAAACATATAAGAGAAGATTAGGAACTAGGATATATGAACGCAAACAAATAATAAATACGATGTCTAGAATATCTTTTTAAACTTTCAGATTGAACGATAAGGAGATGTGAAAATGGGGTGGGGGGGGGGAGTTCTTATCATAACCCCGCTCCGAAGGAGAGGATGGTATACTGTTTTACCCTTGTGTGTCTGTCTATGTGTCTGTCCGTAACAAATTTTCGTCGCAGTGTTCTCAGCAACTACTCATCACAGATGCTTAAAATTTTAGGACACTCTTTGTCTAGGCACGCCGTATGGTAGGATTCACTTTTGTACAAATCCGATGTCACCTTCCTCGTTATCCGTACGTGCGTCTATCCGTACCAAATTTTCGTCAAAGTTTTTCAGCAACTACTCATCGCAGATGTTTGAAACTTTAGCACACTCTTTGTTTAGGCATGCTATTATGGTGGGATTCATTTTTTTACGAATCCGATGTCAATTTCCTGTTTACCCAGGGACGTTGCATCGTTTTTGAAAGTGGGGGAGGGGGGGGGGCAAAGAAAAAATTTCGACGTACCTGAAAAAAAACTTTACAAGAAAAATAAGGGTGGGGGTGTCCAAACTGGAAACTCTTATTTCGTTAGGGGGGGGGGGGAGGGGGCTATAAGTTTCAACTTCTTCCAGTGCCAAATTTTAATTACACACTACTAAATTACCCATATTTGACTACAGAGAAGTGTATACTGCAAAATAAAAAGTGAGGGGAGGGGTAAAATAGTAAAAAAGTTATGTTTGGAAAAAAATGGGGGGCCAACCCCCCCCCCCATGGCCCCCTGATGCTATGTGCCTGTTATCCATGTGTCTGTCCGTGCCACATTTCTATCGCAGTTTTCTCAGCAACTACTCAAGGCACATGCTTGAAATTTTAGCATACTCTTTGTTCAGGCATGCCATATGTTGGGATTCATGAGAGCGTATATTCACATCAGAGCGGGGGTATTACTAGTGAGCATTGACTTCTTGTTCGAATTTGGTGAATTGTTGTCTCAGGGGCGACTTGTATTTTATTCTGGTGTATGCGCATGTTGAAATTTCGCCATAGCATCCCCTTTAACCTCACTTACATATATTTTAAAAATATCAAAAATACGGATAGATTTTGAGAGAAATATTAGTTAAACTAACTTTACATTGCATCATAACGTGAGAAATTTGGAAAATATATCACAGTTGAAATAAATTGTTCTACTTGATGTATTACCTTCACTCTACACATTCTGAAACTCAATCTAGAAGGCTTCAAGTTCAGTTAACTTATCAATATCTGCAGTGCTCCTGTGGACCTCCACGGGAGCCCTGCTTATACCCATTGGGAGTCTAAATGCGGCCTCCAGACTACCTGCAGTCAGAAAAGCACCCGCATTATTTTTGCTCTGTTTCGCCACCTCTCTCTCTCTCTTATCATTGTTCGATAGGAAAATATGATTATGCATTTATATAAGTGTAATTTCATTCTTTTTAAAAGAAAATGTCTGAGGCACTTACATTTCTTACATGCAGGCGCAGTTTAGAGATCGAGGGTGTTCAACAGCTGGCGGAAAGTGAGGTTTTTGACAGAAAAGACATTGATGCAATATTAATCTGTACAGAAAATGGATCACATGAGCGACTAGTCAGGTTAATTCAAATTATCTGTTGATCTAGAGACTGTAACATATAACCCCAATGTAACCTGCAAAAGGAAGGGGGTGTCATATAATCTTGCTAGTATGCAATAAAAAATAAAGATGATTAACGATTGCCTCCCCCTTTTATAACATACATCTGACGACCTTTTTTCGTCAAGAAATTTCTATTTATATTCTAAGCAACTGAAATTGCCTCCTTTGCGGCTTAATCGCATATTGCATTTGACTGTAAGACATTCTGATGACAATATTAGTCGCTGGTGCCTTCTTGCATGGTTCAATATTACCAGCAGTTTTTCCTTGATACATGTAATGTATTTCTTCTAATTAGTCATGTAAAGAAAATTATTGTATATTTTTTGTTTATATTTAGATGTATATAAACTTTTAAAACTTTATCGTTCCTATGCAAACATGTTCAGTGATTATTTTAAAATTTAGCTATGTTAATTTGTAATAATCTCCACTATAGCTACTTATTTGAAAAATTATTTGATTATCACAGGAGAGGAATAGAGAACGGAAAGCATGTCCTCTGTGAATATCCATTAGCTCTGTCCTCTCGTGTTGCTAAGGAGTTTTTCAATCTAGCTGAAAAGAAAGGCAAGTTGGTGCCATCTTATCAACAGTATACATGGTATACCGTATAGCGGGTGTAAAATTTGGCGTTTTGCTTGCTCAAAGGTATGCCAATAATTCTGGCGGAACTTTTTTTGGCGGACACAGAATTCCGTGACATTGCAAAAGAGAGGAAATTCATCTTTTAGATAATGTTCAGTACGTTTAAGATACATTTGAATACCGATTTACACAAAAGTTTGAGTAAATACAATACCAGATGAAAGTTATATTGCTTGTACAACAGACTAATCAAAGTTATTTAAGTGATTTTTTTTGTATTAAGTAGTGATAATGAAGAGTGCAAATTTGGCGATTAAAATTTTAGCAGCTTACTACAAAACCGCTAAAATAAGCCAAAGTTAGCACCCCGCTAAACATACCCGCTATACGGTATACCTGTTTTCTGGAACTTTTTGACACTTAGATATTTATATTAATGTAGGTGTTATTCTTCACGAGGAAAATATTGGTTTGTTATTTAACTACAAAGAACAGCTTGATAACAGTTCTATTCCATGGAAACACTGTGACATTTCAGTGAAAGGTTGGTATATGTATATTTCTACAACATGTGCTGTAAAGATTTGAAAGATTTTTTTCAATACAAAAATTTATTTATTTTTATTCACTACACTTTAAAATTATAAAGTTGATTATTGATAAACGATAATTATCTGTGCATTCTTATCAAGAGATGTCCACCACACTTTTTATTTCCAAAGGAATTTATTTGAAAAATCAATTATATTTAACAGAACTTGCAAATAACAAGAAAATGGACTATCTTCACTATATACTATTTTCTCAATTTCTTTTCAATAATATGCAGTCACGTTTTCGGTATTCTGAATTATTTTATAAGGAGGATACAATGGATGGATTGAGGATCACGAGAATTCAGGGCCACCGTTTGTATGTAACATTGGGCTGGTAGAAACTGTCTGTCATCTATGTGGTGACCTAAAAGCTGTGGGTGGCTCCTTCAGTAACACAGAGTCCAGCTTTGAGGCGGTGGCTCATTTAGAAACCCCAGATAAAAGGTTATATATATGTACTTTTTGATAACATTTTACCACAGATTTTCAGATAGCCTTACTTCGACTGACATAATGGGCGTACAATTTTATTTTTTAGTTTCCTGTAAAACACTTTTTATTCGCTAGAACATAATTTTCACTTTATTGTGTGAGACCGCCATATAGCGAAAATCTCATTCTTGCGCAATACATGTATTTTGTATTCTCGCGGATACTTGAATTAGCAAAAATTACTATAGTATATTTCACTGTAGGAAAGCCGATGACCGTAATATAGTTTACGGTCATCAAAACATGTCGGCCGAGCTGACCGGTAAGAATTTTTCATTCAAGATATCAAACATTTGATAGCATATCTGTGTAAATTCCGCTGAAAATTGAATGTACGCTAATGAAAACTTGCTATTGGTTATTATAGCTTACTTGAACTTAAGGAAATAAAGCTGAAGTACGACCTCAAAGTTTTTGAGAATGATGACCGTAACAAAATATTAAGATGACCGTAATCGAAGTTTATTCCGTGAAGAGGGATGACCATAAATTTATGATGACCGTAATATCAAACAGAAAGCGTCAAAATAAAGATTTAAAGTGTACACGTGTCAAACGTTTTTTACGATCGGCAACGATTCTGTGTGCGATCATACAACTAAGAAAATATGATAAACATGCGATCGTGCAATTTGAAATTCATTAAATACCCTTAACAGTTTAATGAAATATAGTAAGAGTTTACCGATTTACATGGGCTGAAAGTCTGTCGAAACAGAACAGGACACCGAACATTTTTTTAAGAAGGGGGGGGGGGGGTGACAGATTTTCTAATCTTCTGCTTGGATAATTATGTCTACATTTTAAGCAAAATCAAAAATCCAGACCTCTTGCTAATAATTGTCTATTGGCACTCGATTAAAATGAATCAGATACTAACAAAAAGTATTGGAAGGACCGAATTTTAGGATTATAGAAAAACAGGTTTTATTGTCTAGGGAATGGCTGTTCAATCACAAGAGTTGGCATACCTATAAATTTTACCGAAATTTTCAGTAAATAAAAAAAAATTAATACACTATACTATAAAAATAACAATTACAGGAGTTGGGATATCTATCAATTAAACTAAAATTACAAGTGTTATCATTTTACTGAAAATTGTTATTATTGTAGTATTTATATTTTTTATTTACGGGATATGGAAAATTTAGGGGAAATGATAGGTATAGTGTATGTGTATGTGTATGTGGGTTAGTGAGGCTGCTTCCTTCCACTTTTTTAAACATAACTTTTTACTGTAACAGTTGAAATGTTTATTGAAAGGTTGGTTGCCCTCCCCCCTTTTTTTGCAGTATAGTTAAATAGTGATACTCTGGTACTTTGTGAATAAAATTTGATTGTGAAAGAAGAAACCAACCCCCCCCCCCCCCTCCAACACACACACATTCAATAAAGGATTTTTCGAATTTGGACAATTTTCCTTTCTTATTTTGCTTGTCAAACTTTCTAAGGTAATTTTACATTTTAACCCCCCCCCCTTTTTTTTAAACGATACTGTGTGCCTGCAAATAAATTCTGTTCTGTTGAAATATATTATACGAGATATTATAACTGCTATAACTTTGAGGTAAAACTTTGCGAGCCCTCCAGTTCGTTTTCCGTAGTATCTCCTTGATTAACATAGTTAAGTTTAATTTCTGATATTTATGTAGGTCAATTTTAATGGTTAAAAACGATATATCACAATGACCGACTGCCTTGTTTGAATTTAATAATATATTATACATCGAAATAACACTTCCTAAACAGAATTTACTCTGATTTGTGCTTTTTTTTCACGCTATTTCCCAGTTATACGATCGCTTAATAAACGATACATGTCGTTGACGATCGCCTCGCAGTTGTCAAAGTTTCCAATTAAAAGTTGTTTTGATGCTAATGTATACAGTTTTAATTTTAAAATGTTTAGTTCATACCTCTAAGAATGACCTTCAATGTTGATAGGTGATAATAATCTAAACTATCTCAAAGCATGAAAATTCGGTGTTTGGAGCATTGTCGATTTGATCCGTAACATTTGCACAGAAATTATTTTACAAATTTAATCTGGGTGATATTTGCCCGAATTAAATCTTTTCTAGCATTATTTACAGTTGGTTATACTCCAGCACATACAAAACTGCTTTAACTTATTCTTTACGATATTTTCTTCAAGTGTTGCCGATCACATCAGAGTTGTTTACAGGGGTGTTGTGACACGACAGCGGTGTTTTTCTTTGAAGTTTACTCTTCTGTATTAGCAATACAGAACGGGTGTATGGTGGGTGGAGCTACTTTCCGTTCTGTATTAGCACTGTATACCGTATTCTATTAGCCAACTATTCTGTATCTAAAATACAGCACGGTCTAAAAATAAATCTGATTCAATTTATTAAAAAGCACGTACAAGTTTGTAAACGCTGAAGTTTTTCTATCATAAATTTTGGAGAAATATTTCCCTGGGAATGAAAAATGTCAAAAATTCTCAATCACTTTTAAAAACGTATTCCACACAGAATCTACACGTAATTTCGATCCAAAGGAAAATTCACAATAATGGAAAATACCACTCTCCTCGTGCAAACTCGTTCAATTAAAAATTTCATCTTAAATCCTTATCGCTGACGACAACCGCACGTCTCTTTCACTACGTTTTTAATGTCGCAATTCAATTAGAAAATAAAAATCTGTGGCATCAAAGTTCATCGAAGAGTTTTCTGTATATCCTGTTTTTGTAAATCTAGTTAAACCGGGATTTTAAGATCCCTGAAATATATTATGATCAATCTCCATGTACAACAAACCACAACAACTACTGTTAAATCCTCCACCTTATCCATTAAGACTGACTATCACTCGATTCAACTACCCCATTTAATTATCAAAACTGATCTGACCGAATCTTACGTTTTCCGTGGAAATATATATACTGCGGATGTATACTCCCCATCGAGGCCTCATCTACAGAACTCTGACGGAAGTTTGGATGCTGCACAGTTATAAAGTGGGCGGAGCTATTTTTCTTTGATTGATCGTGTCACAAATCATTTAGAGAACTCGACAGGTTCTGTATCGTAGATACAAATTTGGGGGTGGAGACTCGTGCTACGCACTCGTCCACCCCAAAATTTGTATCTACGATACAGAACCCATCTCGTTCTCTAAATAATACTTACAGAACATGTAGAATTGATGTTAAATAAGATATAAAACATCTAACATGAATTTTGTACAAAGATTACGGTCATCTATATAACTGTTTTACGGTCATCATCTTCTCGCTGGAATGTGTTTGTTACGGTCATCATACTGCAAAATTTCGAAGGCCTTTTATCATTTCATTTTCTTTTGTTTGGGTAAACAACATCTACTGGTGTGGAGATAACATCGATGTTCGTTTAACCAATACCTTAAATTATTCAGTTTTATTGAATAATGTTTATAATCGCCGTCGAAAATTTTCAACCGATCATCTCAGCCGACATGTTTTGATGACCGTAAACTATATTACGGTCATCGGCTTTCCTACAGTGATATTTAAGAAATAAGGTATCATTTTTAAACATCTATCAGGATATAAATACGGGTTGGTCACGAGATCAAATTCCATAAAGCCCGAAGGGCTTTATGGTAAATTTGATCTCGTACCAACCCGTATTTATATCCGATAGATGTTTAAAAATGATACATTATTACTTATATTTACATTTATGACTTATTCATATTTTATATTTTCCTGATTATAATCTTTCACGCGTGAAATGTTTTATTTTTCAAACTCAACGGCACGTATTTGATCCATTGTTTGCGCGTTGACCCTTTATGACGTCACTGAGAAATTACGTCGAACGTTTATGACGCGAGGAACCTGTGTTTATACGGATATAGATACGCGTTGCTTTCAATAGTGTTATATAAGGGAAAACATTTGCAAATGTAAATATTTAGCAATAACGTGTGTGAAAATTTTATCTCGATTATTACTACAGTATTACCAAACACAAATCTCGCGAAAATAGATCGAGTGTCTCGAAAATGTGGTCATATTCAGTACCCGAAACCCAATAATGTCAGTGAAATAGGTGAAGATAACGAACAGCTAGTGATCGATCTCAAAAATTTTACAAACAATGTAAATCTGTGAATATGGCAAAAAACACGGATCCCCGAAATTCCAGAGGTGGGTTCAAGTGCCTGGGAGAAGTAAGAATCTCTCGTCGACCGGTCACACCCGCCGTGAACCTATGTTTTGATCAGGTAGGTGGAGAAATCCGTAGTCAAATAGTCAAACTTAGTATTAAAACAAAGGCCTAACCAAGTACGTGTATAGTATAAAATATATCAGTCAAAATAAGACTAAAGGATGGGTTGTATTGATGACAAGGTCATTATAACGACCGTAGATTTACGAAATGCTGACTTTAAATGAGGTTGTTGAAATCACTGGAATATCCACTTATTTGTCAGTAGCCAGGCTCGGTTTAAAAATTGATCGTACTCAAAGCATGCTCTTGAGTATCGAATAAACAGCATATGCAGCTGATAATGGAATATTACTACATAAAATAATAAAAGTTGACGATAGAAATGCTGAAGTCATTTCGTTTGTCATACAGTTTAGTTATTAGTTGGCCGTTATCGTCTATAGTCAGTAAAACATCCAAACATGAAACAGATTTGGCAGATTCTGCGGTGTCTTTTTTTTTTTTTTTTTTTTTTTTTTTTTTTTTTTTTGATAAAGTTTTGTAAACAAAAATGACTTCTCGGTAAAATGGAAAGGGTCAATTGTCAGATTTGTGACCAATTATCTCAAATAAAATATCGGAGATTAATTTTTAGAAGATCTTTTACCTCACAATCACAAGAAAAAGGGGTTTAGTGCTATCAGCCACTAGAAAACGACGGATTGTCGAAGTACATATGTATGCCATTTGTGTTTAATAAAAGTAGCACCGTGGGACAGACTATAATAAACCGAACAAAAAGTCAAAACTAGATTTCGAAATTTAAAAAAAAAAACGTCTCTGACGAGTCTGTAGCTCTACTGGTTTGCACTTATAATAAAGAAAGATGTGTCTTAGTATAGTCTATTTGTGTAAAATAGCTTATCAGACCAAAACTGTAGGAGGAGAAGTTCTTCTAAAAAAAAACATCGAATAAATCTTCTCCTTTTTTAAGTAACGGTGGCAACTCAGTGCATGAACCACGTCTTATTGAAATTGGGCCAAAACTGTAGGAGAAGTAGCATTCTGAAAGAATTTGAAGAAATCTCTATTTTTAGTAACCATGGCAACACCGTTTGTCGAGATCAAAAACCGATACATAGATACAGAGAATTATGCATCATAGTATAGTCTACTTGTATACCAAGTGTTGTTGAAATTGGAAAGAATTTCAAAGATTATTTTAGTAACCATATGCATGGTACAACGTTTGTCGAAATCAAAAACTGATAAAAAGAATTTTAAAAGTATCTTAGTATAGTCTACTTGTGTTCCATGTCTCATTGAAATTGGACCAAAACTGTAAGAGGAGTAGAGTTTTAAAAGAATTTCGAAAAGGTTTATGTTTTAGTAACCATGGCAACATCGTTTGTCGAAATCAACAACTGATAAACAGAATTATGTATCTTAGTATGGTTGAAATTGGACCAAAACTGTAGGAGGAATAGCGTTTTTAAAAATTGTTTACAGACAGACAGACAGTCAGACGGACGGACGGAGACGGACACTTTACCAATACATAAGCTCTTCTGGCCATTTTTGCAAATAACAACACTTTTGTGCATCAATATTGAAACATTTTTTGATTTTTATCTACTTGACTTTCACATCATTTAAGTATAATATAAAGATTTTGACTTAAGCTTATAATAAAATGTTTTATGATTATCCAACTTTTGTCTGCATCATTTTAGTCTAAATGGTATCATTTTATAGAACGGTCACCATCACTCTAAACCGATCGAAAGATTGTTACGCAAGGGAAAAATCCATTGTGTTTCAACTTCAGGATGGGAGCGAACTCAACATAAGTCCTACAAAAACATCAGGGGCCAAACCAGGTGCGATTGTATATAAAAGAATTGGATGTATATATACGGACAAGTTTGATTACATTTTATTGCCTTAGCAACTATTTTTAAAATCAATTTATTCATTTTTTTTTTTTTTTTTTTTTTTTTTTTTTTGCATAGATTTATTCCTGCAAGATTTCCACAAGTTTATGGACGAGATAGTCAGTGGTAGGATAGACCAGGAAATGAAAGCCAGAACCATGAGAGCTTTAGAAATAGCCGAGGATATCCATCGACTCATAATGCCTAAATTGTAATTACATGTGATCAATTTCTGAATAAATATTATTTAACGGATTTTTTTTATATATATATTTTCCCCTCAAATATACGAGGGCTGTCCATAAAGTTCGTGGGCAAATGCTATAATTTTCTTAATAAAGTCCGCACTGGCAAACATATTGTACGATATTTTAATATAGACCATGATTTAGTCAAAATATATAAAAATCAAAACAATGCACACTATTTTTCGAACGTTATAGGTATAAATACTTTGTATATGTAAACCGCAAGACCCAGTCTGACGTGAAGCTATACTTTCATGATAACGTCAAAAATATGGATTTTGAATTTTTATCACATGTTCATGGAAACACGCTACATTTTTTCTTTATTGTGCCACACTGCCAAGTGTGTGCGATAATTTTTATGTATAGATCATTTTTGATTTAATTTTTAAAATTCAAAACAACACACCATAGTTTACGAGCGTCATCGTATACACAGACTGCACAATCCGACGTTGCGCTACTTGTGTTGTCTCCGAAATTGTACATACCGTTGAAAAATCGTATATACCAATTTCAGATCAATGAATTAAACATATTCCAATAATTTGAAGTTGTTTGAATAAATATTTTGTCGCTGACGTCGTTTCAACCATATTAAAGCGTAATTTTATGATTTGACGCTGCTCCGTTCGGATGGCCGACGTCGCCTTTTCTGTCAATATTTGAAACATATTTCTTCCAGTTTTTAATATTTTCACTGTCTGTATACTACGCGATACTAAAAACATAAAAAAAAAAATGAAGATAGTCGCCTTATTGTCGACATATATGATTTTTATTAAGCGTTAACTTGTTTTATGAAGAAAATAATCATTTTAATCAGAACACTTTATTTATGGCATTTTAATCCTGGACACTTTCGGCGACCTTTAAAGACCGCGATTTACAAAAAATATCGCGTATTAAAACAATTAGAATCAAATTATTCTGACTTAGATTTTCATAACAAATATTTTATACAATAAGTATATCTAGAACCATTCATTTTGAAAAAAAAAACAGCCATCGTCCACGAACTTTTTATGGACTACCCTCGTACATACATGTACCGGTATGTAATAATCAAGGGATGGACTCCAGATTATAATTAAGTTAGAAGGTGCAAATAATACAAAAATATTTACATGTATGCATATCAAACCAAAAAGTTTAATACTGCTTTAATTATCGGTTAATTATGTTTCATACTAGTAACTGTTGATTTTTGGCCAATTATTAAAAAGGGGGGGGGGGTTACGCCTTAAATCTTCCACTGATGTTGACTTGTAATCTTTCAAGTGTTAAACAAGATTTAGAACCTGAGAGCGGTCCTCTTAATTGAAATTTATCCGAACGAAAGCAAGCATAAAACAATGTAAATTGTTATAATATATCATACATACATTACATTGCAGCAGCTCCTACCTTACCTGATACAAGTACATGTGTACTTAACTATTTAGATTTTTGATTTAAAAAAATCTTCGGAAGAGATTACTGCTTTGATGTTTTTCGATTTCTTAATTTTACAGATGGCAGAATACAAAACATTTCAGTGATTTTTTTTACTTTTGTGGATCTATAATATTGAATTTTGTTAAAATTTTGTTTGTAAACACTTCATTTTACAAGTTATTACAAGTGTCGTTGTATGACTCAGTTATGGTTACGAGGAAGGTAAGGATGCAAAACAGAAAACAAATTAAAATCGGCACAATGTTTATTTCAAAAGATCAAAACATCCCCCCAAAACGTTGTAAAACAATTTAAGGGCAAATACTTGGTATAATTAATTTATAAATTAAATTAGTTTATAATTAAATTTAAATGTGAAAATTGCAATAAAAGAAGTCGTCCTTATTCGTAAGGAGATTTAATTTTTATCATAATTCTTGAGACAAATATAATCATATGTTCGCTATATACACGTACATGTAGTGATATACATGTTCCCTAGATTTGATGCGGTAGCATCTTTGCTGACTGTACACTGAAATCATCTATTTAATATGCAAGCGGAATTGATATGTCCTCCAAAAAATACTTAAATAAATAAAAAAAAAATTTTGTTTCTCCTGAAGAGTGTCAAAATATGACATACGATAATTTTGAAGCGCAACGATGTAATATATATATTATTTGTATTTTTAAAGATATATGATGCTTCCCCCTTCTCATCGAAATCGGTTCAAATGTGGTGAATCCCTAGCTGTATGTAATGAGAATCATTAATCAAAAAGTCAAAGGACAGGTCACGCGCCCGTCTTCTTTTTTTTTAATCGGGTTTGGTATTTATTGTACGGTGTTTCCCGCCATCAAATGATGAATGATCATGACGGATGTCAGATGAGGTATTTATTACTCCGATTTGATTTCATATGATTACATCTAACAATGAGGGTAAAGTTTTTTTTTTAAATTTATTTATTTTATAAAAACTGTTGACTAATCTCTGTCAATCTGTTAATTGAAAATGTATATATAGAACGGGGATGTGAAACACGTGTATTTGTTTATTCGACCTTGAACTTTACAGTGGGAACAAGTCCAGACTTGTTCTGGCGTTCAGGGCTGGTATGGCAATTATCCACGTTTTATATTACCTGACTTCCTGTTTGTGTGTAAGATTTTATTGATTTGAATGATATTTGAACCATTGTGCATATCCCAGGAAGTTCTGCAGAAAAAGACCCACGTGCATGTCCGAACAAGTTTGGAATTTTGATGTACCATTGGTCATTAAAAATGATTTTTAAATGCAGTGTGATATTGTGCGAGATTTAAATGTTCATATTGGAAGCCGAGGTAAGAATGGTCAACTAGAGTAAAGTTTTTCCCAATATTTCATCTTTCTCTATCCTTAACTCCATCGGTCCCTTGAAGTATGACATTTTCAGCTTACAAATCAGTTGTGAATTATGTTTAAAAATAAAACCGAGGTTTCATATGAAATGAATCGAATTTTATGTATGGAGGATTATCAATTTGTATCATGTTTAATCCCCACCCCCAATAATTTTTGAGTTCATTAGGCCTACATTGTAAAAATTTTAAGCTGATACTGCATGATTTCAATTTTATCAAAATAGGAGATATCAAGAAGAAATATTCAAAATTTCGCCAATCTCCAATTTTGCTTCGAAGAGATCAAAACTTGTCAATTTCATTTTCTAATAGGGTATAGGAAATAAAAAAATAATTTAAAACATTTTTGTCAGAAAATTGGACAAAAATCTTGATCAGAATATGCAAGGTACATTAATTACTGTGTTTTTATCATTAAATAAATTTACTTTTATATAATAGGTAAAACAATAATATCAATGTTAATGCTCATTGTAACAAACTTCACACTGTCCTTACTTCTATAACTTCGTGATACATGTAGTAGTGTCACGAAGGACAGTTAGGACACGTACAGCACAAGTTGGCCACTCATTGGTGCATTTTGTACAAAAATAGCCATGATGCAATACAGTGTGTCATTTTACAGAAATCTCTCCTGGAAATTCTTTTAAGCTGATACATGTGTATTGGATAAAAAATGAATGCATGTAGATGATGCTTAATAGAAAACAAATGACATGGTTTGAAGATTTGCTGAAGCATCAACTTCAGAAAGTACGGTAAATGGTCGATCTTCTCTTGAACTCACTGGATTTTCTGTAAGCCAGGCAAAATGCCTCCAGGAATTAAGTTGGTGATTTTCCTGAAACCTCTATGGTGAGCAGAATTAAGATGTGCATGTTTGTCAGTGAAATATTGAATTTAATGATGAACAAAATGAAGTTGTTGCATATATTTAATTTCGAGACCTGCAGATTTATGTATGTCAATCAAGATTAAAGGCCTGAAATTTCTATCAAATGCACTAGCTGCTAGCAATTGTATGTCTTAAAAGTGATGAATGGATGCATATGATCAAAATATGTCCAGTCACTCTATCAATTATAATTTCACTATAAATTCCCTTATTTAGTTATTTTTTTAACTTGCATAGGACTTCATTAATTTACTGTTTTGTAATTGTAACAATTCAGCAGAATGAATCTGAGGCATTTCGATAAAAATGTTATGTCTTAATTAAGAAAAACTAATTAGGGCAAAATATTTTATAGCTTTAGCTAGGTATTCTAAGGATATATTATTTGATTTTTAAAATTCTTTCTTTAAGTATGGCAGAGCCTCAGAAATTTGTATCCCTTGTTAAGGATGGGATGGATCGAGGTCAGGTATGTATTGAATGCATGGCTGATTAACTAAGAACAGGAAATGTGTTTTATCTGAATTTTGTCATTTTTGACAATGACGAAATTGTGAGAGTCTCCAATTCTTGTTCAAACTTGTCTGCATTGCAGAGTCGTTACAGTATAAAATGTGTGAATTTGAAAGTTTTGCGCACATTTCTGTAACCATGGATTTTTCATTTATAGCCGTGGTTAATGCTAGTGAGGTAAAATTTAAAATCCTTTTTAAAACCATTTAGTGAGCTAAAAGTTTAAGTCATTAAGGATATAACTTTTGGAGGGAAATAGTTCTTTCAAATTTTCTTGTAGATGAGGCGAGAAAAATTATTTTCAGGCGATCATGACATAAAAAAAAAAATTGTTGTAAATTTTTGAAAAAGCATTTTATTTACTCCCAGTTGAATGGATTTTTTTTTTAAGTTTTAGAAAAAATTTAGCATATATAGGCATATTTACTATGAAGTGAGAAAATATTTTGTATGCTCATATTTCCAGGGTTTTAGATGAAAAATTATAAGCATTACTTGGCTATCTCTAAAACTTGCCCAATTTCAAGAGGTTTTGGCAAGGATGTCTGATTTGCACTCTTTTAAGCTTTTTTATCATGTTTATTGAAAAAAAATTAGATATTATTTATAAATGTAATGAAGAGAAAATGTGATAAAAGATATCAAGAGAATATTATGATCAACAATTTTTAATTTAAAGAATATAACTTGCAGACAGTTTAACCATATTAACTAAGCTTTCAGAAAGACAAAAATATCATTGAAATTCACTCAAGATACCAGTATGTAATACATGAATTTTGTGAATATGCAGGATATAAAATAAACTAAACAGAATGTATACTCTTCATGGGGATGTGATTTTAAAAATTTGTATGATGAAAAATTCTAAAAGTTAATTACTTGCTATAAAAGTCAAACTTGCTAACAGTTTTCTTGAAAATGCCTACATTAAAAAAGTGCAGCAACGTTCAAATCATATTTAAAACTAAAGTTGGGATAAAACAGAGAAAATTTTATACATTAAAAGATAGATTGTTAGGTAAATAAAAAAAAGTAATATTTAAAAAAAATGTTAGCACCTAGATTGTTTACAAATAATATTATGTATTTTCACAATTTGTATATACATGGAGTATTTTTGATGGTGACAATTAAAGAGTTGAACAGATGTATATTTTGTATTACATTTTCCCCCAAAAAATAAGTTATGAATCATCCTCATGTAGGAAGGGAATGCAGGAGGACAAAATTCAGAAGACAAATTGACTAATGATGAGAAGGAAGAAAAACAGACATCAGCTGACGTAAATCAGGAGCAGACTTCCCCAGGTTTGTCAAGGGCATCAAATTCTGACAGGGTGTCAGGACAGCAACCCCAGGTTAGCAGTCGAGTAGCAGGTCCCTCCCACATTGTGGTAGCAGAGGAGATAACCGTAGGGGTACCCCTGGTAAGGGAAAATAGTAGCCACATTCTTAAAATCCCAAAATAGAGATATACAGAACTTATGTATAACTATTCTTTGAAAAATGTGAAGAATTTATTTTATTGTATCAAGCAAAAGTGATAAAACATGGAAGACATGAAAGTAAAATGCAAGCAATGTGGTTGGTGTGGTTGGCTTAAAGCAGAAATATCTACACCATGTATGGATTTCCTTTAAATTAAAATCAACTAATTAAATCTAGATCCCCATTAGAAGTAATGGCAGTCTGATTTAAAATCAAACCCTCGCTAGCTCCTTTTTATTTTGATTGTCACATGAAGCACAGCAATCGAAATAAAAAGAAGCTAGTAAAGGTTTGATTTTAATCAGACTGAAGTTAAGGCTATTATATACATCTGTAGAAATTATTCTACTTGTCCAAAGATTTCCTATTTCCTTATAACTTCTTCCTTAATAATCCAAAAATAATAAAACTTGGTATTTGTTGTGGGCAATAAAACATACCGGTATTTTTAAATGAAGTTCATTTGTCATTTTGAGTGCCAATAGACTGAATATTACACTCCTCTGGTGGTTAAATCATTGTATTGATGAAAAACAGCCATTAATTGTATATTATTAAGAGCTACTCCAATGAATGTAATTAATAACCCCCAGGGATCTCAAATTCTGTTAGTCTTAGAAAGAACTGGCAAAGAGATATTAATATCAGGAAATTTAAAGAACATATGTTTGGTTGTATCCATATAATAGTTGTTTCATATATTTCTTTAGTTTTGGTTATCTTTTCAAAGCTTTTCATGTCAAGTTAATTACTATGATTTTACCCTCCATTCTTAATTTACAGTTTCAAGACTAATCACAGGGCCCTTTCTGACTGGTCAGTTTTCTAGCTGTGTGTTGTGTATTGATACTTATATCCAATATTTCTTTCTGTTCCAAAGTTCCGACCAAAGAAGGAATTTCTAAAGATTCTAAAAAATGGTGGAGCTGAAAGCAATTTTTTCACAAAGAAAGAGGTATAATATTTACTTGATGAGAATGACTTCAATTTTTTTTGGTGATATTCATATATGAGGATTCACAATAATTTTTATTTTTTAAACAGATCATCCGTTGCTTGAAGGAATATATAGGAAAGAGGCGGTTATATAACCCCTATGACCCAAGTGAAGTCAACTGCAGCCAGGATGAACTCAGTGAGGTGTTTGGTGTTCAGAAATTTACCATAGCTGATGTTCTGTAAGTAACTTAGTATTATATGTTCTGAATTGTTCAGTCACTGTTAATCAGTATACAAAGCTTGCAGGTTTTTTAAAAAAAAAAAAAAAACATTTGAATTTGATAATGAATATTCTTCATATTGAGGACAATTACAGCTAAATTAATGAATGTGTTACATTCATATCAAGTCATTCTACAAAGGAGATAAGAAATGCAAGTTTCTGTTCTGTTGAACAGGAATCTGATTCATAAGAACTGCTACCAGCTCCCAGACACCTGTCTGAAGAGAAGACAGGTACTGGTTACCAGACCTCTCCCTAGAAACCATCAGGAAACTGGTGCTGCCCTCTCGACACAAAGCACACCAGTTACAGGGGAGGTAAGTCTGGATATCTGGTTCTTGTACCTCTCTGACATACAAAATATACATCCTAATGTCTCTCATTAATGTACAAAAAGTACAGTAATAAATATAATAATAAAATAAATAGAAGATTAGAGGTGAAAAGTGTCAGATGTCTTTGGGGTAGAAAACAAGAAATAATGGGATCATCAAAGATCAAAACTCTGACATTTTGAGGGTTGACAAATGCAGTTTTCAATATACATTTTAGAGAAGTAGCCCTGCAGTATGTGTTGGTCAGAGTGGGCCCACCTCCATCATTACTAGCAGTATTGGTCCTTCCACTTCAGGAGGGGCATCTTTACATTCAACATCTACATCACCACAGGGGGCCTCTAGGGAGGGACAGGAGAGCAGGAGACAAAGGCGGAGGTCAAAAAGGAGACCAAGACCGAAACGAAAGCAGGGCAGAAAGAATAGCTCTGGAGCAGGACAGAGTGGTAGTAAGTGTTTATTTTACGAGTGAAAATATTTTTTGATTTTATTAGATCACCTGAGCCGAAGGCTCAAGTGACGTTTTCTGATCGAAATTTGTCCGTTGTCTGTTGTCATTGTAGTCATTGTTGTCATCGTCGTAAACTTTTCGCATTTTCATCTTCTTCTCAAGAATCAATGGGCCAATTTCAACCAAACTTGCCACAAAGTACCGGTATCCTTGGGTAAAGGGGATTCAAGTTTGTTCAAATGAAGGGCCACTCCTTCTTCCAAGGGGAGATAATTATGAATTCATGAAAAATTAATGGCATCATTTAAAAATCTTCTTAAGAAACACTCTGCTTGAAAATATGAAACTTATATGGAAGCATCCTCAGGTAGTGTAGATTCAAGTTTGTTCAAATCATGACCCCAAGGGGGTAGGGTGGGTCCACAATGGGTGATCAAAGTTTAGGAATATAAAGGAAAAATCTTTAAAAAATCTTCTTCTCAAGAACAGCGAAGCTATGATTGTTCATATTTATATGGAAGAATCTTCAGGTAGTGTAGATTCAAGTTTGTTCAAATCATGACCCCCAGAGATAGGGTGGGACCACGTTGGGCAATCAAAGTTTTACAAAGGAATACATAGGAAATTTTTTTAAAAATCTTTTTCTCAAGAACAACAAAGCCATGATTGTTCATATTTATATGGAAGGATCCTCAGGTAGTGTAGATTCAAGTTTGTTCAAATCATGACCCCTAGGGGTAGGGTGGGGCCACAATGAGCGGTCAAAGTTTTATAAAGGAATACGTTGGAAAAAATTTTAAAAATATTCTTCTCAAGAACAGCAAAGCTATGATTGTTCGTACTTATATGGAAGCATCCTCAGGTAGTGTAGATTCACGTTTGTTCAAATCATGACCTCCAGGGGTAGGGTGGGGCCACAATGAGGAATCAAAGTTATACAAAGGAATGGAAAAATCTTCAAAAAACTTCTTTTCAAGAACAGCAAAGTCATGATTGTTCATATTTACAGGTAAACTTCAGATATGTCGACAACCTGGGATATGTCGACGTCCTTCTGCGGTCCCGGCAGTATTTACTATATAAATGATTTGCAAAGACTCTGATTTGTCGACCTCGGTAATGTTGACAACCCCGGTTATCTCGACGTATATTCACAGTCCCAAGAGCAAAATTTACCTGGTATATGTCGACATCGGCAATTTTCTGCTCTACTGAACCTACCTGTTTGTCAGATAGGGTCGCTCGTCACGCACGGACGACTCTGGGTATCTCGACGTCATCAAAATTTCACATCTTTCACACCCATGTTTTGACTGCACGCTGCTTAATTAATTCTATAGACTGTGTTTGTAGATGAATCCCAAGCTATATCGGCGTCTTTGAGAAGCTTAACTGCTAAATCTACATGATTCTGCGTAAATGTAATGACGGTTATTTATATGGAAACCTAACATAACTTTTAAATTTGAAAAAGGTAACTAAATTGCAATAAATAACAAACACACTGAATAATTCAAAAGATGTTTTAAGGATATTTTGTAGTTAAAATATATTCAACAGGAAACAATCCAATTAACGACACGTTTGACCGAATCAGCCGTAATTCATGCATCTGTAACATCACTACGTTAGTTTAGATACACAGATCTCTTTAGAAAATTAATTTTAAAGCACATTCTTCCTGAATGAAATAAAAAAAAAAATCTGCATTTAATTTTTTTTTCCGTTATCGGATATAGAGTTTATAGGGTTCGAAGTTTATAGAGTGCATTTCGTATCCTGTTCTGACAAAAAGGCAAGTTGCACTCGAATGCTGTAACTTCGTGCTGAAACTTTGTGAATGTAGAAAGATTTTGATAAAGAACACGTTTTATAAACAAGATTTTAAAAATAACTTCTTAGGTTTTTAACAAAAATAGAGGGAATTCTGAAATATGTTGAGCTACAGTCTATATTGAAGTCATGTACGTATAATAAGCTTGTCTGTTTTGCTATGCAGTGAAATCTTGGACATCAAGTCTCAACTCTGATATCTCGACACCCCGGATATCTCGACATTTTCCGATGGTCCCGTCGATGTCGAGATAACGAAGTTTACCTGTATATGAAAGCATAGACTAAAACATTTTCATTCTAACTAATAAAATATGTAGCTAATTAATCTGAACGGACCAATAAAAATTTCTGTAAAACAATATGAATAAATTACCGGTGTCCAAATTCTCGAATGTGTTTTTAGCTTTCTATACTAGCGTCTTGGTGGGTAATTAGGCAATTCTGAGTCAATTCATTGCTTAATTTTATGACAGTGATATGAAGTAAAACGTAATAGCAATCATGATGTAATATGGCACTTAAAAGAAAGATGTCAGATGTTTTGGATATTAAGATGAATTACAATGGTCCTTGCTGATCGCAAAATTTGAACGAATTTGTAGAATAAAACACTTTATGTAGATGTTTTGTATATTTAAAAAAAGGATAAAAAAAAACATTGTAATGTTTATTTTTAAATTAATCGTTACAAAACATTACTGTTTCCTTTCTTTTGACGGACTTATAAAAGCACCTGCAGTCTAGTAAATGGAAAAAAGCACTAGTCTGGCTGGATTAAAGCCTAAAAAAAGTTAGTGTCGAACCCTGGATACCTGTAATTTGACTGAATATATTTACTTTTTCAGGTCAAAATCAGCCAGGTTCTTCGGGATCTTCTGAATGTTCTGATCCATTGTACATCAAGGTGAAGGTGGAGACGGACTCAGACACTGACCACACTAGTAATCAGGTAGTTATGTTGAGAAGTTTACAGATGGTACACACAGAACACACTGCATAGTATTAGTTATATTGACAAGTTTACAGATGGTACACACAGAACACACTAAGTAGTATTAGTTATATTGACAAGTTTACAGATGGTACACACAGAACACACTATGTAGTATTAGTTATGTTGACAAGTTTACAGATGGTACACACAGAACACACTGCGTAGTATTAGTTATGTTGAGAAGTTTTCAGATGGTACACACAGAACACACTGCATAGTATTAGTTATGTTGAGAAGTTTTCAGATGGTACACACAGAACACACTGCATAGTATTAGTTATATTGACAAGTTTACAGATGGTACACACAGAACACACTGCGTAGTATTAGTTATGTTGAGAAGTTTTCAGATGGTACACACAGAACACACTGCGTAGTATTAGTTATATTGACAAGTTTACAGATGGTACACACAGAACACACTACGTAGTATTAGTTATGTTGACAAGTTTACAGATGGTACACACAGAACACACTGCGTAGTATTAGTTATGTTGACAAGTTTACAGATGGTAAACAGAACACACTACGTAGTATTAGTTATGTTGAGAAGTTTTCAGATGGTACACACAAAACACACTAGTAATGAGAGGTGTGTTCAACAACGCCATTGCTTGTTGGTGCTCGCCTAAATTCCTTATTCCTCTTGCAAAAATGTTCGCAAGCACCGCTTTGTTGCACAGGCCTCTAATACTTATTTAAAGGTATCTTTCCTTAAAATATTTTATAGGACAGAAAAAATTTGTGATCGGTCGGGCATAGACGACCGATCACATCATTATTTCATAATTAAACGATAATTATATGTTTCAAGAATATAATAGTGTTTCATTTTTAAGAAATTTAGATATGTGATAAAAACCCTTTAAGATTTATTTAAGAATGAGTTTCATCTAACTGTATGTACAAAGAGGCTGTTAAATTGTGATTCTGTAATTCTCATATTCAAACAAAGGAAATTGGGTTTTCAATGGAGATAAATAGAAGAGACAGTAATGACATTTTTCTGTCCCATTTAGCAGGATGGCTCCTCCAGCCAAATTGAACAATCTTCAGATGATCTGTGGTTCCTGGAGGAAGACCATCAAGAGGCCTCTGACACTTTCTCAATTGAATACGAGTTGGAGGACTCTGAGCCATCGGACATTATATCTGAATCTTCCTCTGTAGTATCAGGACAGGTGAGACTTATATGGTGTGCATAAAGTAAATTATTATGTACAGTGCATAGGTCTTTCTTGAGTACATTCAAACCTTGTTATACGGATGCTTGTGTTCCCAAGCAAATTGTCAGATTAATGAAGCATCCGGATTACAGAAACATACTTAATACATTATGTATATAGAAAATATAAATTGTTCACCACAAATTTATCTGGAAGGTGAAGGGTCTGGATTACTAGTGTCTGGATTAATGAGATTTCACTGTTTTAGTTTGAAGTGTGTGTGTTGTCTCAGAGAACGTTTACAAGTACTCTATGATGTTTACTTCTACCTGTACTTTACACAGGATGTGATTGTGGTCTGTTCAGACAGTGATGTTGAATTTTGGGCAGATGAGAGTGACACATGTACAGACTGGAATGAAGGAGTATGTATTGGCCATAATTGCTTAAATTAACATGCACTATAGCAAAAAAGTTTGTGTAATTTTCTTAATCAACAGTAGTTGACAGTCACATGGATCTATAGATCATTAACTCACAGAGTTAACTGAATGATTGGGAATCGGTTTTCAATGTTTTAGGTACTTATTTCAGTGTAGTAATTTAATCCTTGATGGGAGAGATTTGCATTGACTTTTGTTTGCCTTTTGTCAGGACCAGTGGACGTGTGCATGTGGTACAAAAAACACCCCAGTCCAACGTCACTGTATATTCTGCTGGAAGATACGTCCAGGCTGGCTTGGAGAGAAAAGAAAATATTCACCCTCCAGTGAAGAAATGGACTCGAATAAAAAATTGAAGGAAGACAGTGAAACAGATACTTCAGATATTGGGAGAGTTGCAGAAAGAGAGACATTGAAATCGGACTCAATAGATTCTGGAATTTGTCTTTCTAGCCAAGACACTGCATCATCTCAAGCGGAACTGATCCAGCTCGGATCCAGGAGGATTTCACTGAATTATAGGAGTAAAGAATCTCCAGTAAAGAAAGGACCAGAGGATCCATGTATAATTTGTTTGAAGAGACCTAAAACAGGCAGCATTATACATGGGGGCACAGGGCATCAAGTTTGTTGTTATCCCTGTGCCAAACGTTTAAAGAGAAAGAAACGAAAATGTCCTGTATGTAGACGTACAATTAAAAATGTTATAAGAAATTACGTTCTATAATGATGCATGTCCAAAACACCAGAGTGTTAGCCAGATTTCAATTACATTAGAATTTTGAAGAACATTTTTAGGATTATGAAAATCCATGTAATTAATTTCTACAGTAGACATTTTAATTTTTCTTATGTGACATGCATGTATATTTAGAACCCTGGTGTTAAAGTATATTCTTTGTTGTTGAATATGATGCATTGCTAAATTATGCAAAGTGCTACCAGTTATTGCTGTGAACCAGTTACATGTATTGTTAAAATTGTTTTCTTTATGTTGTAAGGTTTTGTAATTTTTGATGAATTTTATTACAATTCTGTACAAATGTTATTTTTTTTATCGGGATATAAATGACTGAGGGGTAAATAAATTCAAAGATGATGAAAATACTTGTTCATTTAGTACTATGCCAAATTGCCAATTTTAAGTTCTGTAGGCACATATTTTATAGTACAAGATATTGTGATTGAGTATTTGGGCACATTTGTATGTACAGTGTATACTGTGTATGCTACATGCATTTTAATCACAGGCTGTATGATGAGAAAAATTATGTATTGTGTATATGTTTTCTTTCTATACAAAAATGTAGAAACATGAACATAAACTGTACATACATGTATAGTGACAATATCTTTAAAATCTTAGTCTTTCTTTGTCAGAAATAGGAAAAAATGGCACATGTACATACATGTATACTGTATATTAATTTTTTATTGATGTACGCACATAATTTTATAAAGCAAAAGAGTAGGCAAATTTTGATCAATTTTTTTCTCGTTCATGCTCTGTAATACTTTTAATCATCGCAAGATTTCCTACGAAAGTTTAATTACTGAGAATTAAATAGCAGAGAATATCTACATGTAAGTTATAAAATTAATTTATAGCTATGAGTTTTGAAGAAATTAAGTGCTAAATCAATATATACTCGGTATCATCGCAAGATTTCCTACGAAAGTTTAATTACTGAGAATTAAATAGCAGAGAATATCTACATGTAAGTTATAAAATTAATTTATAGCTATGAGTTTTGAAGAAATTAAGTGCTAAATCAATATATACTCGGTATTCAGTAGTGTCTAATAGTCTCTCAGTAGTAAATCTTATATCTGAACTATGAAGAATCTTATTGTTTGACTGACTAGCAATTTGTTTATTTAAGGAATAAATTTAATAGCTACCCAAGTAATACTGTTTAACCTGGGTTGGGACAGTTTACACTTTATAAACCATGAAGCGGTTTATAAAAAAACATCAACTTTTCCAACCCAGGTTATACCAGTATAACTTGGGAAGCTGTTATATTTATTCTCTATAATTTAATTTTCCATCATTAGGTCTAGAAAATAAGACAATTTTTACTTCAAAAGTGCCTTCAAATTGAATAGATTTTAATGTCATGCAAATTGATACGTTTTGACGTTAAGTCGTGACACAGGCAACCCAGGTTATATGGTATAAACTAAATTTTTTATCCAATCAAATGACATGTTACAACCAAAATTAAATTATTTCCAAGTATCATTAATTTTATAAGCTCCCTACAGGTAAAATTCAAATCTGTTGTAAGAATGGCTCCTTTTTCATCTGGAGGTTTTTCAGTACTACTTGTAGTAAAGCCTATTGCCATTATTTAATCTTATTTTGAAACTATCATAAGAATTTATTGGGCTTAGTTCTTGAAGACTAAATGGCAAATGTGAATATCTGAATTTTTTTTATCCATTTGTGTATGTATTTTATTCAACATCGAAAAAAAATTGATTGCATATAATATACATGTACCAATTAACAGTTTGTGAGAAATTTTGTGCTACAGAATGGTGATCGAGCTTTTAGCTGGTGAATTTCTATGTACCGGTAGCTTGGAAACACAAAAAGGCAAATTTTTCTATGTGTATATGTAGTCATTTTTCAGAAAGCATTGAGATTCACTGGTATAATAGTAAACATGTGTGGCCCATGAGCCTATTGTTATTTAAATAGTCATGTACAGTTTTAATTTGCATCAGTATGAATTCTAATTACATATGTACATGATTGTACATGTAACTATTTAAATGATTTTTTTGTTATGTGTCTTTATTTAAGCTTGTTTTTGTTATATTGTTTAATATTCAATATTTTCTTTAATATTTTTCTTTTTCAGGTACACTTTTTATTTTTGAATTTGATATAATTAAAAAAAAATGCCTGTAATCATTATAATGGTATATTAGGACATTTGTAGTAATGAACATTAAGTTTGAGGGAAATTTGTATATACATGTATTTGGGAAAAGGCAAAGATTTAATCTGTGGTCATGATTTGAAATTACATTCAGAAATATTAATATTGCAAAAAAATTAATAACTGGTTTCAGTTGGGTATGAATTTGAAGCACTGACCTGTTACAGGATTTAAAAAATGTGAATATTTGTAGATTAGTGTTTTATACATGTATGTTTTTAAAAGTGCTAGCCTTAAACTTTTTTCAAACTACCTGCTACAATGACAAGTATTTTTAGTAATACATGAACCTACTTCTACCTCTGTTGTGTGAGCTGGAGTGAAAAGATGGCTTTGAAATGGAAATTTTTTTCTTTCTTAAAATCAAGGAAATAGATTTATTAAAAAACAAAAGTGAGATATTCTAGTTAAATAGTTTGGGTATTTAGGTTTTTTTTCCCTAACAGATAAGTCCAATAATAAATACACATGTATAAATATAATAAACCTAAATTTTATGTAAAGGTTGCTTTGTGACATATACTCTATAAAGGGAATTAATGCTCATACAAATGTCATTTATATAAATGAGCCCTTCCCTGCACAAATGTTGTCAGCTTTCGTACAAACTGCATACTCTTGGTTTTTTTTTAAACACTGAATAATGATTAAACTCTCTATAAATGTTGTAATTTGACCAAAAAAAAATGTGTGTAACTTCGTATTTTATATTGTATTGGCATGCAATTCTTTCATTTAGGTAAAAAAATTATTCAAGAGGCAGCTCAAATAAGATGTCTTCATATAATTTCAAAGCAGCTAAAATAAGATGATTTAAATTCAAATAATATGCTTGTTTATTTTATTATTATTATTAGGGATGTCAACGAATAGTCGACTATTCGACTATCAGTCGAATGGACCGACGATCGAATAATGAAACGACATTCGAATATTATTAAAATTAAATAAATGCAATAAATGAGTGATGAAATTCTCGTCACAAAATTGAGAAACCGTCTTTCCTCAGAGACAGTCGATAAGATAATTCTCCTCAACGAAAACGGTTGATTTTCCATGTCTGTATAGAAAGTACAGTAATTATAAGTGCTTCACTATACTGCGAGAATTAATTGTCAGTAACTGCCTTTGTCGTTTTTGTAATAAATTACCCACCAATATACTGGGCTTTGTTTATAAAATTATTAATTGGACTTGACCTTATACCATTTACCAATTATCTTTTGTTGTTATAAGATTGCTCAAAAGAAATGAACAAACCATAGCTGTGTCATGTTTTGAATCTTCGATAGTTATTAAAACAGCTTACAATTTAATCTGTTAAGGACATTTTCATAGCCAGAGCAATCTAATAAATTTTAAATTTTAAAAATATCGGCAATACTCACTAAAATGAAAAATGACTACATGTAATGACGGTATTATGAATTCGATTGACGGGGAAATCGTACATTTTAGAGAATTGGGTTTCCTAATTTATTTCATATAATCATGCGTTACGTTGCATTAATTTTGATGTTACTTTTTAAATAGATATAAGTAAAAGGGTTTTGAGTTATAAATACGTCATGTATCAGTGAAGTTTGAAATAAAATTTTATTTTCAGAAAATGTTCCGAACATTCGACTATCGTTCGAATAATGCAAACGAATAATCGACTAAGGAAAATAAATATTTTGACATCCCTAATTATTATCAATCGATTTATATAAATCTTCATTGTTTTCAATGTTACTTGATTTTTTCACATTAAATGCTGATAAAGTTACAATTGTATTCATTGTAAAGAAATTAAAGTGTATTGTTAGCAGTTATTTGTGGATGTTAAAGTTATGATAAATGAATTCTCCTTTTAGAAATTATTACTACCTGAAGAACACTTTAGATTTAGTTTGACTGAACTCAACCAAACAGTAATATTTACAAAAAATTAAAAAAAAAAAACTTTGCACTGAGGATTATACAGTGATGGTTGGAGTAAATGTTAACATTATAGAAATAATTTGTGTTCCTTTTTGGATATTAACCAATCAGAGGCTATAATACAAACGAAATTAAATTACATGAACATACTGCCAATCTATATACTAGTACTCTCATATTTGTACAAGTAAAGTCTTAGATTTTTGTGTTATTTTAGAATAATGTGACATATTTATGGAAGGAAGGGAGAAAATGCATCAAAGCAGATCATGATTTAAACTCAGGCTCCTGGAGCTAGAGCATTACCATGCCAACAGAGTTACTGGTATTTGGCCCCTGTCTGACTATCACAAAATTTTTTCAGCTCATCTGAGCCAGAGGCTCAAGTGAGGTTTTCTTACCTAAGTTTATTTGTCATCTATCTGTCTGTCTGTTAACTTTTTACATTTGTGACTTCTTTAAACCACTAGACCAATTTCAACCAAAAAGTGCCTCAAAGCATCCTTTGATGAAGGGGTTCAAGTTTGTTCAAATGAAGAGCAACCTCTTTTGTTTTTATTCTCTAATTGTCTACCCATGTTTAAGGGTCGCATCAGGGACTTGAACATTTGTTAACTTGATATATAAGTATGTGCAAATAAAAATGTTCTTGTAATTAAAACTGCAAGAATTTATTTGTAGGTGTCCTATGGTAATCATCATTTATTGTGTTTAACTGTTTTTCTGTCTGTTCATCAATTGGGAAATACTATTGTGATATTCTTAAATCAGATATTTTTCAACCTTGGCATTATTTATGCATTTCAAGCATTTTATTTTTCATTGTTGTGGTATCACACTCAGATCCAAATCCCCCACCATACTCTATATCCCTATGCAGGACCCTTTTAAACTAGCTGTCAGTTATCTATCGTACTATTTGTTAGGTCACCTGAGTCACTCCGGTGACCTTTAGTCTGCCGTCGTGCGTTGGTCTTGAACTTTTAAACATTTTCAGCGTCTTCTCTTGAACTGCTTAACCAATTTCAACTAATTTTGGCATATAACATCAGTTGGTAAGGGGTTCAAAAATTATGCATTTCATGGTCCCTGCCCCCCTGGGGCATGAGGGGTGGAGCAAAAAAAACAATCAAAATTAGTGCCATCTTTAAAAATCTTCTTCACTCCTGGACAAAAAGCAGTCAAACTGTTGGAATGATTTGAATAAGCATTGAGCCCTCTACCAGAATTGTGAAATTTGTGGCCCCAGGGTCAGGGGTTCTAGTGTTAGGGCGTGGCTCTACTGATCATGTAGTGAAAATGCATATAATCTTTAAAAATCTTCTTCTCTCCCTCTCTATGTTTAGAAGATAAACAGTGTTCATGATTATGATAAGAAAGGGTGCCTCTTCCAAAATTGTGAAATTTGTGGCCCCAGGGTCAGGATTCTGGAGTTAGGATGGGGCTCTAATGATCATATAGTGCATTTATTCTTTAAAAATCTTCTCCCCCCCCCCCCCCCCCCAGTATATTTAGAAGATAAACTAACGGTAGGTGCCTGGTTATGATGAGCAAGGGAGCCTCTTCCAAAGTTGTGAAATTCATGGCTCCAGGGTCAGGGGTTCTGGAGTTAGGGCGGTGCTCTAATGATCATATAGTGCATTTATTCTTTAAAAATCTCTTCCTCCCCCAGTATATTTAGAAGATAAAGTAGGTGCCTGGTTATGATGAGCAAGGGAGCCTCTTCCAAAGTTGTGAAATTCATGGCTCCAA